ACAAGCAATGTGTACACGTAAACATATGGGTCGTTTTTTCCCCTGTCCCTCCCCGTCGACGGGGATTTTGACCGTGCGGCGAGGTTACTAAGCCGAAGGCTGGCACATCGGAAGTGGCAACTGCAAATTTTCTTGTTACTTGATCATATACTGCATACCGTAAAATTCCGAAAATAAGCCCCGGGGCTTATATCTTTCCAAGACCCTTTTTGAGGGGCTTATTTTTGGAGGGGCCTATATTCGGAGGGGCTTGTGTACGGAGGGAAATTTACGTCTCAAAATCGGTTGGGCTACCTTCCAGTGGAAAGGAAATTTACCATTTTTGCTTTGTTTTACTTTGTATTCGGGGGCAAATTCCAAGTACAAGCCCCCCGGGGGCTTATTTTCGGAGGGGCGATTTAACGGAGGGTTTTTTGCGTTGCGATTTTGGGGGGCTTATATTTGGAGGGGCTTATACATGGAGGGGCTTATTTTCGGAATTTTACGGTATTATGAGACCATGGATATTGCTGTTTGTTGTTTTAAAAACTACAATATTCGGTCTACACCCAAGCAACGATTTGGAGTGACTGATCTGGAGTAATTCCTCATGTTTTTCTTAGTAGGTGAGAAACTAGGACATATGCAGTTGTAAAATGGCCTTCGTACAAATGTGTAGTCGATTCAAAAGGCAGGAAACAGTATAAGAACATCACAAAGCCATCACTTCATAAGGTATGTACCCTTTATAAAGGCTGTTTATGAGCATTTTTACTGTTTTATCGAACTCACGATTAATTCCCGTACAAATCCTTAATAAATTTGGCTTCGAAAAGTCTGTTGTGAGCCTGGGCTCCCTCTCTCCTTTCAGTTTCCCTGCCTTTTAGTCTTGTAGTTTTAACCTCCTGTACTGTCAGATTTATAAAACGGGTTAATTATACCACGGCTACAAAGGGTCTACTGAACCAACCAAGCATTCTCTGTTGATTGAACTTAAGTCCATGAACGAAGGAGCAAGTTTTATTAACCAAACTCAAGGTGAAGGATTTCGATCCACGATGGGTACAAATATAGCTAGTTACAAATTTTAAAATTACTCATTATATAATTGTACAATATATCTGAATATATTAATCTTTTCTATATATTTCCATGACTTAATAAATTATTACATTTTTCGTTGCACTAGGTTCTCTTTTGTATTGTGATCAATTTTGACAATCTAAACGATCAAGAACCACCCCATCCCCCCTAAAATTAATTATACCAATCTCACCAATATGCCTCAAAGATTATTTTCACTTGTACAACACTGGCAAAAACCACAAAACACAGAAAAAAAGAGGGCACACTCATGCACACCTTTTCTCCTATTATGGCTCTTGTTTAAATATAAAGTCTGTTGCTAGCAGAACCTGAAGCCCCCCTTCCCCTTAATGTTGCAAATGGACTTTACATAGTTTTCAGCTTATTTGTTTCTTTACAAATTTTCCAGAAAAAAGTGACGAAGGATAAATATACATAAGACCATTTACATAAATATATTACGTAGCACAGTATCTACAAAGCAGTATATCATTGCGGTATATTAATCATCAGTTATACAGTTGAATCTCAATTAGGCGCGACCCTCAGGGTACCGGCAAATGGCCGCTTTAATAATGGATGATGGCCGCTCAATAGGGATTCGTCATAAATCAGCATTGCAAAGAGTTGCTCTTACTCGAGAGGGTATGAACAAGTCCTTAAGGGTTTGGTAATACAGCATTTAATCATTATGTTTAAAGCTGTAATAAGTTGTGAAAGAAATTTTATTGACCACTCTGAAATAGTTCAAGGCTCCATCTGCTTTCCTTTGTATAAAATTGTAGTGGAACGTTGCTTCAGCTTTTGGGTTTGCTGCGTACAAGTAAGACCGTATGTATCAATGTGTGACTTTCTACAGGGCAGTAAAATATTTTACAATAGGCGTTTTTGTTTCTTTTTCAAATTCTAAGCTTTAAAACGGTACGAGGTGCCAATCATTTTTTATCCTTTCACATCCAAATACAATTATAAAATGGTAAAATGCTTAGTTTATAGAGGAAGTGCATCTTGCTGCTCTAGCCTGTTTACAGGCACTCCACTGATCATGATATAATCACAAATCAATAATGCAAATAGAACGTAACAGGCTGAAAAAATTCCAGCTGGCGAGAGTTGGCGGTTATTTACAAGCCATGATCGACGATTTGAACTCGAGATAACCGATCCAGCAAGCGGTTGGAGCGGGACTCGAATCCGGAACCGCTAGATTGCGAGTGTCACCATTCGCTGAAATGAAACCTCTTCAGCAGTATTTTGACCTGGTACTATTTATTTAGTACGTACTCCTTCTAACTTTTGAGTCTGTGGATGAAATCCTGTGGTGTTACCATTCAAATGAAACCTCTTTAACAGTACTTTCACCTGGTAATATTTATTTAAAATGTAAATAACTTTTTGAGTCTGTGGATCAAATCCTATGGTACGACCATTCAAATGAAACCTCTTCAGCAGTACTTTCACATGGTACCATTTAATAAGTACGTAGTTTTAACTTTTCAGTCTGTGGATGAAATCCTTTAGCGCTATTTATTTAGAAAGTATGTATTTATAATTTTTGAGTCTGTTGTCCATTCAAGTGAAACATCTTTAGCAGTACTGACTTCGTCATGGTACTATTTGTTCATATAAAATTAAACTTTACATATTTATTAAATTTTGATTTGAGGCACTACACTCCTTTTTCTTTTTTTATAAGAAGGTTCATTTTTCGAGTTGAGCCTGGACCGTTCTTATTTTCCGGTCAGTTTCATCTTGGAAATGTTCTTACGGATAAAAATTTCAATAACGGAAATCTGATACACTCTGATTCCATGTAGAACATTATGTAATTCAAATTTTCTGGATTTAGGAAAGTAAAAACGGTGAAAAATATGTTGTTTTTCTCAAAGTCTCGGGTATGTTCTTAGCATGTTCTTAATTTGGCAAATTTCATGCTGAACGTTCTTACAAAAAAGGTTCTTAGATATAAAAAAAGAGTGTACTGAAGTGTACTTAAAATACTTGTTCGCATACATTCACATTTTATCGCATTCCAGCCATTCTGAGACCCCACATTAGGTTTTCCTTGAGCATTTCCAGCTTCCTGTTCACTCTTTGGCGAAGTTTTGTAAGATCATCGTGTTTAGTTTGTTCCTTTTGTGCATCCTTTTCCTCACCTTCTCCTCTGATCTCACTGTCCGTCTGCTGTTTCTTGTTTTTGCCAGCATTCATAAAAAGAATTGGCACAAGGCACCAGAAATGACCGAAGCAATACATGGAACTGTGAGACAAAGAACGCAAAAATTAAGGCGAGGCTTGTACTATATCGGACAGCATATTTTTTTCAGTTCATTCAACAAAAAAAGGACAAAATATATAATTAAATGTGTTATATTAGCAATTTTACCGCCAATATGCGACGCCAATCCTTAATTCCAGAGCCACAAATGGAATAGTAGTGAACGTCAAGCAACATGATGTCACCACGCATGTAACGACGTCATAGAACAGAGAAGTTGCAGGTGATCTCTGAAATAAAGGCCTGCAAACTCGTCTGACCTAAAAAGGACGCAAAGGGTGAGCTTTTCTCAAAATGGGGCACGGGCAACTACAAGTGTCCCCTGCTATTCTGCAGGGCCATTTTCTTGGATTCTCTAAAAGGCGGAGGGTTTCTGTGATTTTCAGTCATTTTCTTTGACTCCCTATAAAGCGGACATCTCCCTAAAACGGACACATTAGGGCCATTTATACTAGGAAAAATAAGACGCGTCTTAAATAAGACGCGAACTTTCTGTATAAACGGCACATTTCGTCTAAAATAAGACGCGGCTTGGCTAAGACGCGTCTTATTAGATAAGACATGCTCGCATAAATGGTACAATTCGCGTCTTATGTAAGACGCGTCTTATTTTTCCTCGTATAAATGGCCCTATTGAGTCGGCTCGACTTCCTATAAAGTAGACAACCCCCTAAAAGGGACACACTGAGTCGGCTCCTGCCGTATTCGAATCATTTTCTTTGACTCCCTATAAAGCGGACATCTTCCTAACTGGACACAATAGAGAGATTTACAGTCACGTTTACGGCCAACTACAAACGTAAGTTTGTATTACGTGACCAGGTTTTCCCTTTAATTGTCGTTTACAGCTGTTTATTATGACTACACAGAAATCGGTAAATCGGAATCAGTCCTATCCATATGAGTTGTTTTTGGTCTGTTTTTATCTGCTCATTTCCTATTTTGAGAATTTCTAAACTTGAATCTCCCAATTGCCGTTTGCCGTAAACTGCTACTTTAAGGAAGTCTCTTGGAGAAAGTCGATTGCGTTCTATTTAACGATTAGTTCATGCGTCAGCGTGCGTATGTCGAGATATTGAGCACTTGGGAAGTTTGGAGAGCACGAAAGAGGCGTAAGAGTTGCACTCGGCTGCGCCTCGTGCAACTCTAGCCTCTTGAGTGCTCTCCAAACTTCCCAAGTGCTCAATATCTCGACATACGCACAGCTGCAGCATGAACTAATTGTTTTATAACATTATCAAAGCGATCAATTCAGCAGTTAACTTAAATTTTATTATTGTAGGGCGCGCTCAAAGCAGTACGCGTCAATGTGACTATATATTTTTTTCCTCACAGTTAATCTTATGTTTTTATCCTGAAACTGAGAGAAAGTGTACTCTAAAATGATTGTAAAATCCATATTTAGGTGCCGGAAAACTATTGATTTACCGAAAAATTGTTATTGAGAGAAAACAACTTTGCAAAGAATGATCTCACGCCATAGCCCGCACAGCTCGCGGAGATGACAACAACAACAACACTCACCTCTTTTCCTTACAATCGGTTAACACATTCAAACGTTTCCTCTAAATTTCCTTACAAAACACATGGTAAACGCTTCATTGTCTATTGCTGAGTTATGGATGCACTCAGGAGACTCAGGATTGTTAAGCTCCCAACAACTCGAGGAATTACGAATAGTTTATTGACGTCATCAGCGTGCTCAATAGGAATATGAAGCACGCTCGCGCTGTTGAATTTGATTAGGCGAATTTTCTAGCTACGTCATAATTTCTATTTTTTGGTTTCTTTACGACATAGTGTGTACCTTTCTCGCCGCTTCAACCATCAGTCCACAGGTAAAGAATGCCATGTAATACCCTGGGTAGAACCCATGCCAAAATGCTGAGAGTGCAAACACGGCCAGCGTACGGTGATAAGGAACTCGGTCATATACAATTCTAAAAGGAAATACAGTACAGACATGACAAAATCTTCTGCGCATGACAAAACAGGGGAGGAAAACCTCTTTCGTGCCACCCTTTACGTACGCTTGACACTTCCTCACTATAATTTAAGAAACGCAAAATATTCTTCTTCACCTCTTTTTTCTCAGCTTTTCTGCCTTTGTAACTTTTTTCCCTTCAAAATATCACTGAAGGAGAATTTTTCTCCAAGCACATCAGTTTCCAAATTCAATTTACCCTACCTTCTTAACCACAACGCTGTACAGATATTCCAGTTGTCTAAAACTTCCTTTAAATTTGTTGCAAACTGTATGGAAGAAAGCAAATGAGAGAAGGGCATAAGAGTCAATCACCCGGTTACAAATGTCGTTTTGATAGTACTCTGAAATTTTAACAAAATTGACAATTCTAGGTTTGTCTGGGCAGTTGCTTCTGTCATTATAATCATCATCACCATCATCATCATCACTACAACCACAAGGTAAATGTAGAATATTAGATAGTGTTATATTGTATTGTAATACCTCCAGTCTTAGAACGTTGACGATGGTTAGACGGTCCCACTTAGCTATACCATTCTCATCAAAACCATTGAATCCTAATCCACCCATATTATTCACAGCTTCCGCTAAAAAGGCAATTAATAGACACACTTGAATGAATACTCTATTGCTTCAATTACTCAATCTCCTTCATCAAACAGTCAGACCCTCTAGGGAGAACTGCTTGGAACAAGAAAGTGTCAAAATCGTTCCAGCAGAAATTGAAAACAATGCTTATGCAAAATTTTGGAGGGAAAACAAAGAGTATTTTGGTATTTGTGAAAAAACGCCCATTAATTAAAAGTGCTTGTGAATATATTTTAAATAAGCTGTAAGTCTGTGGAACAGAACAAAAAAGACACATAAACGTTTATAATAAGATATTATTTTTTTCTTACCCATTTTAAAAGCAAAGTAATAACGCATCCGTATGGCAAGTATGGAGATGTAAGAATATACGAATCTCCATAGAAGATGATGTGAATTTATAAACTCTTCATCTGCAAAAAATAGATAACAACATTTCAGGTTTTTCCTTTCTCATGACCAAAGGAACGTGACCATTGTGGTTTAAATTTTCACGGTCTCAAAGCCAGTTCCATATTTTAGACAAAAAAACTATAAACAAAAACTAAAATTGTTTGAAAAAATGTTACGCTAAAGAAAAAATTAAACCTGCCATATAAAATAACCGGAGATATAACAACATAAAGTAGTGTTTGCACAAACACTTAAAAGTCATGATACATCAGGCAAGGCAGTAAACAAAACAAATAAAAAAAATTCCCATACCTAGCTTGCTGTAGGTTTGAGGGAAACGTTTTGGAAGAAAAAAATCCACTAAATTTCTCAGTTATCCATCACCCAGCATCTGCATACACAAAGCTTTGTTTTCAACGTAAGGTTCGTTCATATCTTTAGCCTGCATAGCTGGGTGAATAAGCTGGTGATCAGCGCAGATTGTCTTGCAAGTGTGTATTCGAAAATCCCTCACAGTTTTGCCACACATGTGGAGGCTTCACTGCCAAGAAATGTACCCCCCCACCCTCTATTCTATATCCCGCCAGATATGCATTGTGTAGTTCAAGAAAAATAATATCCATACCCCCACCCCCCACAGAGGGTAACGGAGATTCAGAGGGGAGGAGGGGGTCCAAATTTCAGAGGGGGTGGGGGGCGGCCTCTCGAATAGGCCCCTCAAGTTGTTTTCCAGGGGTTCTGAGTAAGATTGATGATCAAGCTCTCAGTTATTTTACTGTTAATTGGTGTTGACTGTAAAGCAAAAATTATTGTTTCCATTGATGATCTTTTATTATCAGTCCGCTGAGTGCTTTTTTCATGGCTTGCATGATAGTTTATGTAACATGATTGTCGTCAGCTCATGAATAAACTTCCGCTGGTCATCTATCTGTTGCTTTGCTACACAATAATTGTTAATTATTTCAGTCCAACTTGGATTTACCTCCATTCCTGGAAATTGGAAATTTTGACCCAGTTAAGAGAATAACAGCCAAACACACCAAACTGATAAGAACCTTTCTAAGTACAGCACTCAGTGGTGATGGTTCCTTTTGACCAGTTCCCTATTAAAAAGATCAAATACAATAAGATAAAAAGAGCTAATAATAATAAACAATTATTGAAAACTTTATTATTTACTACTAATCATAAATAGGGGAAGCCAGGGTTCATATTAAGTTACTTTAAAGTAGGTTCCTTCTCTAGATCCAGGGGTGGGTCCCTCCCAGAACAAACGTTACCTTAGGCCTGACATCAGAACCATCAATGAAATCATTGAATTCCTTGAAGGTACATACAGGTCCTGCTAAAACTGTACTGTAGTGAAACAAGTAACTGAAGTACTCTAACAATGTTGGCACTTTTCTGTAAAAAAAAAAAAAAACAGCAAAATGCTTAATTATTTTGACATCATTTTAAATAGGTATTTAGATCGAGCTATGACACAGAGACCAATAACACAAAAAAATGAAAGAACTATTATCAAGTTTCAAATTTATTTATTTATATAAAAACTATTACAATCAAATTATTAGTTAAACCAGAGAATGACATGGATGGACAATACTCGCACACCTTACAACACAGAAGAAACTTTTCTACAATAAATATTAATTGTATATACATGCAGCTACTTTCACATAACACTGTCATTTGAGGCCTTGTTAAGGTCAAATTCCGACAAGCGACATGACCTTGAAACAGCGACATAGGACAGCAGAAATGGTACTGACAAATGACACAAAGATGGGTTGAAACTGTGACAGCGACAGAGGAAAAAGAAAATACAATAGTAGAATACAAAAAGTAACATGGCCGGCTTCCTCCTCATCACGCACATTTTGAAGTTCAGACTAGGGACTACATGTGTAACCCTCCTAAGTTAAAGAAAAAGTCAAATTGAACATCAAACACCATGTAATATAAGCCAGAGATTTTAAAATATAAAATCAAAATTCATCTTCATTGATATCAACTTAATTAATATCTTCAGTGATAGAGACTCCCGATGCTTTACCCACGCATTTGACCATACAAGCTACACTTACTTGAGTCTTCCTTTTCTCTGCTCATCTTTCAGTTCACTTTCGTCTCTGCCCATTCCTAAATAGAATCAATAATAAAACGTTTCTCTACAAGAGTTAAAAGATTACAGAGGCAGGGGGAAATGTAAGTTTTGAGAAAGGAGATCACTTCTTTAAATTTAAATTGATATTTTTTCTAAGAAGATGATGTTATTAAACTTTGGTATTGATTTTTTAAGCAAAAATCCATGAGAATAGACAAATTAAACCACTTTGGATTAATTTTTTTTAGCAATCATCCATGAGAATATAAAACACTGAAATGAGGGAGTCAGTATGACTGTGTGGAAATAATAAAGAGACTGTTAAGTGACACCTGATTTAATGTCAATTCTCCCTTTGATTCACAAAGATTAGGGGGTAATTGATGGGAGAATCTTAGCAGAAATTGCTCGAGGCGTTTTTCAAGGTACCAATAGCCTTGGTAGCTATCAAAAAAAATTAATCATTAAGGGATTTGGCTAATAATTATGATAATTTATTCAGATTGAGGAAGGTCCTCCACTGAGGCTGAAACTGAGTCCAATTTTTAGCTAGAAATTATTATTGTGAATGGTGGCTCTGAAAAATATGTGTATGCCAAAGCATTTTTAAAAGCTTTTATTAAAAAGCTTTTAGGGTCTGTACTAAATGACCAAAGTCTCTTCTTTAAAACCTAACACTTAACAATGTGAAAAGAGCCTTTGATTACTGTACCATCATGAACACTAAACGCCACATACGATATTCTTTGTACAAAGATCATCAAGGGTCTGCAATTCACACATACACACGAAATTAAAATTAACACACAATTAATTTTCAAAGTATAATAGCAGTTTTTGATAGTTATACAAAGAACTGGTTAAATTTCAAAGGTAGTTGCTATGTTGAATTTAATGTATTTTTTAGTTTCTTGTTCCATTCTGCTGAGTGGCTGATACCATGAATAACCTTTTCTAGTTAGCCAGCTTAATGCAGCTTTTGTGCTTTGTTTTTAACTACGTAGACTTTGTAAGAAGATGGTGACTACAATGAGGGTGACTCAATTTGTAACAAAATAGTGATGTGCACTCCTTTCTTATGTTCACCACAGGCTGAAAGATTTTTGTTGACTGGCTGGAGTTATAACCCACTACGGTGCATGATCCAGACCTTGAGATAAGGGGGTGGGGGGGGGGGGCTTGAAAAAAACTTTTTCAGCCCTTCAGGTCTCAGTTTGGTCTAAAAATAAGGGGGGGTCCCGCAGGCCCCTCCCCTGGATTCGCCACTGCACTACCATTCTCTTTTATAATAACTGATCAATGACATTATTATCATACCCTGTAAAATCCAGAGTGTAGCCTCCATAGTCTGTTATTTGACGATGGATATGAGCTATAGAAAGCATTCCCATAGACACAGTGAGTACATATCTAGGAGAATAAGAAATTTGGTCATCAGAAAAATACATGTAATGAGAAATCCTTCTTGCATAACTATCAAATAAAAAGATTGATTGATTGGTTAATTAATTAACGTGTAACACTTCATTAACTTACTTGTGAACAATTGAAGGATTTAGGACACAGGTGAGGAAATAACAAAGGGCACTGATGTTGATTAAAATCAATGTTTGCCTGTTAAAAGAAAAAAACCCAATAAATTTAACAGATTACATGTAGGTATACGTACCTACCCTCACCTCAAGAGAGAGAAAGTTGAAATATTTACAAACATAGAGGCCATTGGACTGCACCCTCTTGGGGCAGAACTGATTTACTGTTTTCCGACCCTTCAGTACATAACATATTTATATTATGATTATTATTATCATTGACTTTTGAATTTCCTTTCAGTTGGACAGGTTTACAAGAGATTTTTAATTATACCATGCTTTTATATGCATGAAATTATTCGATCGGTGTGCAGGAGTTTTCTTCTTACTATAACAAATGCCTACGAATACAACCATTGCTCCTTGCTCGTTGCCAATGGGGACGTTTTGCCAGGAGTAACATCTGCCCCTCAGCAACAGAAATTCTATACTGATGACATGAAATCTGTCTGGAATCTGGTCAGGAACCCTGATTGGTTGGTGTAGTGGATATATTGTTTTATCTATTGTTTATGAATGACAGACAAAAGACAAAAGGCCACGTAAGGTCAAATGTAAACGATATGAATGTACAACAAGCAGTCAATATTCCTGGACCATATTTTTCTTTAGAAAAAGAATTTGAATTTCGCTGGAGCCTGTTCACAAAAGAACACAACACTGAGGCGCAGACGTCCCTCCTGGCGAAACATCCCTTGTGGCAAGGAGCAAGGAGTGACGGCTGTATTCACGGGCTATATAACTCACAATGTGGCACCTAAATAGTTTAAGGGGGAAAGGGTAAGTCAGAACCTTTTGCTTCCCTACACCACCATCCTGCTTTAGTGTAGGAATTTGAAACCAGTAGAAATTTGTTTCCATCACTGCACTTATCTGCCCAAAAATGCCAAAACAATTACAAATCAAGCACTAGATGGGCCTTTGCAGCTTCAATGGTCACTGACAGCTTCTAAAGTTTGGACATGACATTTTAATTTGTTTGTCGCAGTTATGTTGCTAAGCAACTACACACCCAAAATAAATATGCATAAAACCAATCCAAGATTCTATGTGACCTGAATTCTGATAAATCTACACATCTCACTAAATATGGAAGGCCATTTGGTCCTCGCTTCAAGAGGAATTATGTTTTACTATGTATGAATTTTTTTCACAAAAAAATTTACTATCTCATATCACGAATATCCACCCTTACCTAACCAGTGGTGGATCCAGGGGAGGGGCCCGGGGGGGCCTGGGTCCCCCCTTATTTCCTTATTTTTAGATCAAACTGAGGCCCGAAGGGCCGAAAAAAATTTTTTTTCTTTATCAAAGGGTCTAGATGACCACCTGCCCCCCACCCCCCCCTTATCTCAAGGTCTGGATCTGGCACTGCTAACACCTTCAATTTGATTATATTTAAAAGACCACTTATCCCAAGCACTATCTACGGAGCAATAAATGTTACTGAAGTTCGAAATTAAGTCCACTAAGCTATAGCTTATAGCTTAATTATATGGAAATAGACAAAAAAACATTGACAGAGATTAAATATTAATTCTTTACACCGAAATAACAAAGTCGTGAACAAATGGCAAACGCTATTAAATACAGGCGAGTTAAAATCTCTCTCTTACCTCCCAAAACAAAACCAGGTTAGCGCTATACCCCAAAGAAGTCCTACAATCCGTCTGACTGAAGGAGAAACTCGGCTGGGATGAAGAACAACTCTAAACCCAGCCCCAAGAGGAAAACATGACAACATGCAAAACACAAAATTGACCTGCAGAAAATATATACAGTTAATTTGAAAAAGTTACTTTAAATATTTAAAAATGGCTAAGTCGACAGTGTCGGTTCAGAAAAGCGGTTTTCACGCTCCGTTAGCTGCAATTGTTTAGCAAACCCAGCTGTTCTGAATGAAGTAAAGTCCATCGCGAGTTTAGGCCTGTGGCGAAGAACGAAACTGATACATTCGATTTTTTTACCTGATCGGGCGAAAAGTTTGTTAAGCGAGCGATTTGTGTGAGTATTTCCACGAGAGTCACCATACTGATTTCTGGCGATGAAGGCTCTCTTGAAGGGGAAAATTGCAAAAGTGCAATGCTAATAATAGAAAATTCACATGTTTCCGTCGTTGAATTCGTGCCATTTCCCACTTTTTGTTCCCAGTCCGTCGCGACCTTGAACGAACTTGCCCGCTGGTAACACACACCTTAACGAGGTCTATGCATGTATGCATGTCCGACCACACAGGGAGTCCGAACGCTGCATTAGATAATAGAAAAATTACATGTATTTACGCTGTATTAGGTAATAAAATAATAATATGTATTTACCTTTGTTCCTGTGTCTTTATGAGTCGTTTTGGAAGGGATTTGAATCCGATCAGAGACGGTTAACATTGCTCGTTATCAAATGGGTTTGCTTGTCTGGCGCGTCTTAAATAAGACGCTCAAGTTTCGTCTTATGTTTCTCATGTTAACTATTAACTCTCGATCTCCTTGGGAGATGATCTCGGGTTTCAAAGTTAATAGTTAACAATATTAGAAACGTGAGACGAAACTTGAGCGTCTTTATACGACGCGCCAGACAAGCAAACGCACTTGATAACCAGCAATGTTAACCGTCTCTCATCGGATTCAAATCCTTTCCAAAACGACTCATAAGGGACGGACCATTAGAAAAGTTATGGGGGCTTTTCCTTCAAAAAACGGGAAAAAGGCCCCACCCGTTTTTTGAGGGAAAAGCCCTGGGGACGAGGTTGGGTCGAGGTTGGTGACAAGTCTCTGCAACTAGTAGACTGCAATAGCAGTTGGTTTTTTTCTCAAAATCGGTTTAGCGTAGCTTTAGAGTCTCACATGCACCTTTTGTTTGACTGCTCGACGTGTACCTGAATAAGCAAAACTACGGAGTGTTTTGCAGTCTACGCAACTGGGAACCCTGTGTTCTCCTAGCCTTACTATTGTGTGGGTAACCTGTGCAGATAGAGATGTAATACATCTGCAATACAGAAGTGTTTGGAAATAGGCGAAAGGTGCTTGCCCATATTTGCAAAGCCGTGGCCGCCATCTTTGATTTTATTGAGGCTAAGAAGAAAGATTTGGTTTTTGCTTTCTAATCCGGCTAAACTAGCTTACAACATTCAAGTAAAATCCGTTCCCTCTACAACAACCACTTTCAAAGTAAGGCAAACCACGAGAGAATGAGCTATTCTCTCTTGGCAAACCGAGAGAGAATTCTCTCTTGGGCAAACAAAACAAAAAAACATTTAATGAAATCACAAACTTTAACTGTAATTAAGTCATGTATTTACAATATTTTCGGCCCGACACTCATGATATACATTTGCTTGCCACAGTAAATACACATTCGGCGCTGTTATCAGGCAACCTCGTCATACGATATTCTTAGGATAAAAGCTCCTAAAAAATTCTCCTAGAAGTGTCTTCTTTGTACGTCGCAACAATTTATCGTTTATTTTATCATTTCATTAAAGATACTTTCAATCATGCTTCCTAGCTTCGTACCGCAAACGGCTGACAACCGTCACGTGACTAAGTTTTTCTTAATGGTGTTTAACACCAGTTACTTTTATATTGTCCATATTTATCTTCTCCTTAAGTTACATTTAACTCTTTTTTTACATAAACAGGCGACTCCAGATAACTCGAACCCTCGGTAAGCGAGCCTCCCGCTAACACGAAGTAAGTTTTGTTTCCCCTCAGATCATTTCTAGATAACTTTACCCTTGATAACTCGAACCATGTTTTAAGCTCGTGACAAGTCGGAAAAAAAATACCACGTACTAAAGTCCGGGACATCGAATTTATTTCAAAACAACCGTGTCAATTCTTTTGTCTTTACTGTTTTGTCACTCCAGTTTTCGATTTCCCTAAAAGGTTCGAGTTATCGGGAGTCGACTGTATATTACACTGTCACTTAAAAACCGCCCTCCGTAACTTTGAATCAATTTGTTCACAGTTTCTGTCTTCTTTTCTAAAAAAGAGAAAATCTGGGAAAGAGCTTGTCTTTGGATTTATGACTTTTGTCAAACTCTGCTGGAAATTCCTCTCCTTTGCCTTAAAACCTTTATCTCTCTCTTCTTTCTTTTAAATGGTTTATCGTTGAATCCATTATACATCTTCATTTGCAAACTGAAAGAAATTAAGAACAAATTAATATGGTCGACTGTTAACTGATTCAGGCCGGATGACCAGATTCTGAATGAATGAATCAAAACCCTCACTGCAATGCCTGTAAATGTAGGATCAGGCTACTGTATGTGTTCTATTGTAAAAGCAGACATACTTAAAAAAGTTTTTAAAAGACAATCTTGGATAGAATAAAATGGCAGAAGAAACTGGCTCTTCTTTCGACCCCATCCCCCGCTCTAAAAACAACGGGCTAGAGAAAGACAGGTTATGGAAAGACAAACGAGTAATACGTAAGTGTTGGGCCCTGATCACAATTTTTCAATAATCCAGTCAAAGACTAGTATGTGGCAACTGTGATTTCCCGACTCTATCTAACAGATAGATAATTATCATGTGGAAGGGGAAGGACTGATATGCGTTCAAATAATCGTGACCCACCCCCCTTTATGACGCACATGCTTCAGCTTCAAGCCAATCTTACCAGCAGTTTTACTCTCCTAACATAATTTCCAACACACGATTACAATACGTTCTAATTTTCTTCAATTTTGTCCAAAAATCCATGACTTCTTTTCCATGCATTTATTCTGTTTTCGAAATTATAGGGCCTTTACTTTGTTTTATGTTTGTTTTATATAGCTCAAACAGTTTGGCTAAATGGGAAAAACATAGAGGAACTCTATAAAGTAGTTTGAATTGTGGCTCGATTACCAACGGCCGTTCGGGAAATGAGCCCGCGCTCCAGCGCCCCGTGAGGCTGGGCCGGTGTTGTGTCGAACTACTTTATGGGACGGGTTTTGGGAGACGAATTTGGATCCATTCTCCAGCCCAATTTCGTCCCCAAAAGAAAGTCCCATAGCGCAGTTGTATTGAATGAAAGATCTTACCCGCAAGTATTAGGGTCCTTTGACGGCACTACTAAGGGCTTCTTCAATATTTTAGCGATACAATTTCTAAGCGTTAGATAACAGAAGTTCTTGTAAGCGATGCCATTCATGCCACAAACAGGGGTGTCGAAGAGTCCTTCGCTTTTCTTGGGACAAGGTTGACAACCAGGTGGCGCTAAATAAAACAACAACAGATCCCACAATATCAACAACAGTTAACAAAGTGTAAACGACACAAAGCAATTCATACACTAAAGTATATATTAAATATGATATCAATCAGTATACTATAAGATCCCATCTGCACTAGGGCATTGTCGTTTTGTTTTACACTGAAATAATGTGGCCAAAGATTGCGCCGTTTTCAATGCCTTCACTCTGCCTAGTTGCCCGGTTTTTACGCGCGGACGCATTTCATAGAAAAAACTTCGATGCCTTTGATTACTCACTGTAGGTAAATTTTGTAAGTAGCGCACAGAGTACTACTACGTATTGCTGCATTTTTCAACTTTGCTTGCTCTTCTGTGATTTTTTTTTTTCCTCCATGTAATTTCTTAAACTGCCAGTGCGTAAAAGCCAAAACCGATGACTTTTTCACGTAACTTTTCCAGCGCTCGGCACTCGCTTATTGAATGCACTTGATTGGTTCATTTAATTGTCAGCCGCGCCAAATAGAAACCACGAATCATAGCTCCCAGTCCCTTTTGAGCGGCTTTCCAGTCAGACTAGTGTTTTTTCAGGAATTTGACGAAAATGGATTCGAATCATCCTAGAGAGCTTGTAAATCGTTTTGGGTCAGACTGCTATATATCAAATAGTCTAAAAACCGCAGACAGAAATTCTCCCGGCCGAAACTGAAGCGCCCGCTATTTAATTTGTTAAATATATCTATACCCTAACAATTGTCTATATTCAGTTCTAAGTGTTCTCCTTCATGATTATTATCCCCGTTTTCCGTTATTGTTTTTCGATACGATAATGTTAAATTTTCACATCATACCACGCAGGTAGACTTAGAGGTAAAATGGAGTAGAATTCATACAATATACCACAAGTTACAAAAGCAGCGCAATATCCTCGTCTGATCTCGAATATAACTTAACATGTTCACTTAACAAAATATTCGCTCACACAAATTGTGGTTTTTTTTTTTACTTCCGGGGTTCCCATTTAGGCTTCGTAAGGAAAGTAATTAAAAATCACAGTTGTCGCTTACAAAAAATAACGACAACATGTGGCGAGGAAGACAACCGAGTCAAATTGTCAAATATAAAACGTTTCAGTTTATAACACCGTTAAGTTGAGGAAATAGAGCCAAGTTTAATAACGCTTTTATGATCTTTCGTATTTGCGCAATTAATTCAGTCTATTTTTAAAGAGAATTTTATCCTTTCAAGCCTTTAAGATAAAGTCACAAATCAATTCCACGACCATATTGACATATTTCCCATCGTGAAACAAGTCTAGCGGTCAAGAAAACACACCGCGGGCCAACTGCAGTGATGTAAGTTTGCATCGCAAAGATCCTAACTCTTTTTATCTCGATATCACGACGGCAATTAGAATTAAAGTAATTCTTACCTTTTTCGCCCCAGAAAGTTTCGTGGCGAACGCACAGTGTTTTATGAAGCACCGCAGTTAAAACGAAGACGAAACTAAAAGCAAGACGCCACAAATCTGCCATATCTTAGGTCATTTGTGACAAAGCAAGTTAAGGCAGAATTTGCAGGCAAATATATCTATATGAGCTTAAAGTTGGCCAGCAAAACGGAGATATTTTTGTTGTGTACTTCTCAGATCGGAAGGCTTCTTCGGAAGGCTTCTTTAGAGGCATGCGCGTAGAGTGGGTTTCCGGCGATTAATTTTTAAAGCAACGTGTACAAAACAACAAGAATTTGACATGCTACATCAATCGAACGATAGAGGTTGTTTAAACAACAATGACGCCTGAAGGAAACAAGTAAACCAGGAATTTATTTACACGATTTGGTGATCTGCTTACAAATAGCTAAGCTAAGCCACTGTGCAGTTGCAGATATTAGGAAAACGTAAGAAAATGCGCTGCCGGCACAAGACAGGTCCCTTCACCTTCAGTTTTCATTCGTCGTCCTCTCCACTCTTCTAGAGCACCTTATACAGGATATCAGTAGTATTAAAACAATGACTGAATGAGGCTCGGTTTTTAACCTTTTAATACTTGGGATCCCTTAACACAAGGAGAAATGGATACACCGACAGTAAAAACCAGTCTAAGAGCCACCTGCCAATATTCCAACTTTTATTCGTTACTAGAAATTCACTTATAGAAAGTCTTCTCATATCAATTACCTCGCTTAGTTATTCACCCAAATCCTCCAACTGAAATGACCGCGCGCTGACTGACTTGTAAACCTCCCAGCTAAACGGCCACTTCTCCATTTCAACAGATAAGTTCTTGACCTGGCTTCCTATTTTCTATACATTAAAAACATCCAATTAAGGCCGGGTGTGTCTTCCAGGCGCCACGGCACGTAGGAAGTTTGTTAAAGAAGGTACATTTTAATTCTTTTACTAAACCAAAAACTCCGGGTTCTCTCCCAAAAAATTCAGGAAAATCCATAACTTTTTATGTTTTTAGAGATTTAAAACAAACGTTACCATTTGTAAGTTCTACAGAACATTCGGCGTTATTAACCAATCATGAGGTGAAGATTGCTGGGTATTGTCCAAAGTTCCAGCTCCTTTCCTTTCTCTTTTTCTTTTCGGAATAGTGTTGAGAATATGCAAGTTGATATTAGGCTAGCTCAATTCTTGGGCGAATGGCTACACTACGGGTTGCGAGAGATTGCTAACTCTTGGGTCTGTGGCTGAAATCTTATACAGTAAACAATATGTAACACCCCTTATTTCACGGCTAGCTCCTCAAACGGGCAAGATGAAGCAAGTCCTGTGTTTTGATAGGCCACCCGAGCTGACATGATCGGCCTCCTGCACGGGATCACGCCGCTTTGTCCCGCAAGAAGAGATGGGTGTCAGTGAAACACGGGGTCTGGGCCGGACCGGAGCCGGGGTCAGGGTCAGGGTCAGGGTCTATCTTTCTTAAAAAGTATGCTGTTTTAGGGTTAGGGTTAGGATTATGTTAGGGTTAGGGTTAGTGTGTCCACCCAAACCCTAGCCCTAAAACAGCATTCAACATTTTGATTGTCGTTTGGTTTACACTCTCTTTTCGACTGACAAAAGAAGGCGTTGGCGGTGACGGAAACGGATGTTACTAAAACGGGTAACGGGGTGCGGGTAACGGGGTGTGGGAACAAGTACGGGCGACGGTAAAATGAAAAAAATGAAAAAAACTTGAACCCTAGCCCTATCAGTAACTTTATTTCCAGTTCCTGGTTTTGTTCCTATTTTTCATTTTACCTTTCTGTCGTGCTGCTCCCCGTTCCCCGAATTTAGTCACATCCAGGTGAAACTCAATTAACTGGCCATGTGAAACTGGATCATTAGTCTTCAGGTGCAATTTCCGTGGTGTGACAACATTGAGGTGCGGTTCTATTATGATCTATAATTCTTCCTCTTGAAAATTATTTTTGTTCATTTCCGCTTGAAACACAACTAGGAGAAGCGTGTAGGGCAATATACCGCCACAAAATGAAATGGTGTTTCGTCTTGTTGGCACTTATTTCTGTATCGTTTCAATCTGCAGGTGGAAGACCTGTTACAGCAGGTGAGATTAAGGGCCGGTTATTTAAACGTTATTTTAGCCAGTGTTTAACAAAACCCTATTCTAAGCCATTTTCAGTTTGCCAAACACTTTCATCAGAAAAAGCCGTTTATCGTGAACAGTATCGTGAGGGCCTCAGTAAAGACTACAAAGGCACTTGTCTTCTTGATATGACCATAGTTATTAGAGGAGACTAGTTATGAAAAGCGGCAAACATCAATGATAAAAACAACAGTGCTGCAGTTTATGTTCAAAGCACCGTGAAAGTGCACAATCCTTTGTTTTCTGTTGGCAAATTGTTACGGAATAAATTAATGCAACGTTTTTATTGGTCAATACAATCAAAATGATAGGAATTCTTTTGAACGTTGTGCACTTTCAGGTCCATAAAAACATATAACAAAGGAGTCTGGCGGGTTTCATAACCATTCCACTCAATTAACTATGATATGACCCACTAAGCGGAGGAGATCTGGAAGTCCAAAGATTTGTTTAACCGCGGCCTAATATAATTAGACTTTGTTAAGATAACCGACCATAAGAGGTTTAAGCTCCGTTTACCTCTTAATTGTCGTCAATTGACACGACTGATTTTTGTTGCTACACAAAGGGCTAGGGAAAAGTAGTGAAGTGTCTTTTGTTCGTAGAGGTTGGAAATGACGAAAAAAGGAAAATACCATTTGGTTCATTTTATATGAATGAGGCCTCAACAAAAGAGTCCATCGATAATTAAATTGTGATTTAAAGTCATATCCAAATGTTTTTGGCACGGGTAACAAAAGAGGTATTTTCCCTATGAATTTCTTTTTTTAAACAATAAAATTATTAGCCTCCATTTTTAATAGTGATAAGAGAAGGTTTTCACTAGTGACCGGCTATGAAAGTGTTTGTCTAGCGGCAAGAAAGTTAAGACAGCCTCATGCGTTCCGGTTATGTCTATTACTATTTCTATAAGTACAAGGAAGAGAGAATGAGCTAGCTCATTTTTCTCCCTTGATACAAATCATTTCCCTAAACTCCGAGAACTAGCCCGAATTTCCGACATCACCTCGAGACGCTCACTCCCTCAGTGCCTGGATGAGGGAGTAAGCCGGACTCGAAGTGATGTGGGAAATTCAGGCTATCCGAGTATTTTCTTCCACTGTTTTGTTTTGTTGTTGTTTTTTTTGACTGCTCACGGCATTCGTATCGTTTCCCTCGAAGACCTGTTCACAACGTTCAGGCAGTCTCCTCTAAGATTTCTTCTCTTCCGGACTAGTGTGGAGTGGGTGCCTGTCTTTCTCTCGGGCAACCTCGTCCCGTCCATTTTTTAAGGGAAAAGTCCTGGGGACTAGATTGTCTCTCGGGAGTCCGTTGGGTGGGTCTAATTTGACACCAGACCCTTTTGTTGTTGTTTTAGGTGACTGCGTTCAGTGCACTGGATATCTACCGCAATGTAATCTTCCAGGTCTATTTGGATTTCCTAAGTGTACAATGTCGTTTGAGAAATGCAAGTTTAACAAGCCTCGCCCATTTAGACCAGGAATTCTACAGCTAGAAACAGACTGTTACTAACAGTGGGTAATACGGTAAAGCCGGCCGGACTAACGTGATGGGCGGTAAGGCTGCAAACATAGACATATAAATATTTATTTAACCCTCGGACGTACACGCAAGGTCATACCCCCACCGTGGTAAAAGGGGGATGGGGTAGGGGGGGGTTGATGGAGCCCCTCCTCGGAGTTTTTGATATGTTGCAGTATTTCGAAACAATTTTACCTTGAGTGGAAAGCCTTTGGTTTTCTTAACAAGATGAGGTATATTTTATGAGCCTGGGTAGCGCTGCTGGAGGTCTGTGACGTCACCAACAATGATCGCCATCTTGGCCGCCCTCTTGGATTTTACCAAGAATTAGAAATCAGGTTAAAACCGGGAGAAATGGTTATTTTTTGTGCTTTACATGAAAAATAACACGTAAATAAGCACGTTGCGTGATTTTAGCCACACGATTTGATTTTATCGATGAAAAAAGTTGAAAAAACATGTACTTTCACTCAAAAATGGTTCGACCGCCCGCTACTTATGACGTCAAGCCTTGTAACCATAGAAACTGACCATCGCTGAACTTGTCTCAAAATGTGTGCGAGGGATGAACGAACAGCTACTGAAAACGTCAGGTGCTGATGTTTTATCACTTGGGGATCACTTGCAATTCAAAACAGCACTCCTCCAGTGCGATAGTATTAGATAGAACAACATTACCGTGCAGCTAACAAAACAACATTGTAAGTTGTGAAGGGAACGGAAGAGCTAGCAAGATACAGCTAAAACAAAAACGATGAGGCCAGACGAATTTTGTCCGGGAAAAAGCTGTTTGGAACATTCTAGACGGAACACGTTTAGGCCTAACTTTCACGCACGCATAATTTAGCCATTAGACTCTAGTTTCAACAGCTGTTTCAAGTTTTTCGGGGCATGCAAAATGCCTTGTTAGGCAGAGTCAAGCGATGTCTCTCAACCTGAAAAGGTTATTCTCTTGTCCATTGATGGTTGTCTTTATGTGGCCTTACAAAACCTTTCTTAAGACATATGGACAACGAAACGGCTGGAAAGTACACGAGTCATTTGGAAAGTCAGAGTAAACAATAAACCAATTTCGATGTGTGGCTCCAAGGCTTGGGTGGGAGAATAAAACAAAAGAAATGTATTATTAAGTGCAAAGTTTCCAGATGATTTCTTTTGTTTTATTCTCCCAAGTCTCGCAGCCAAGTAGGAATTTTAATATATCGAATTTGGTCCATTATTATATTACGTAGTCTCACCACGATCACTGTAAAGGTGCGTGGGATCAAAACGAAAAAAAAGCTGGCCTACTGTTTTTATCACTAAAAAAAGCAGCCCCAACTGTCTCTTAACCTGCGTGGCATGCGCAAAAAAGGGAGGGGGGTGGAAAAAACAAAGAAATTCCTTCTCTCCCCAATCCCCTCTCCCTTTTCCCTCCTTTCCCCTTCCCTGTCTGACGTCGGCGTACGCAGTTTAGAGGCGACGTTTTTGAGCGACGCACGTTAACCGGAAGTGGACTTTTTTTAACTCTTCGGCCGTGATTTTGAACAATTTCTTGGGCAAATCGACTCTATAAGAGTAAAGACACTCAGCAATACAAATTTAGTAGCGCTAAGGCATATTAAAAAAGAAAAATGCTCACTTCCGGTTGTGCGTAGCTCAAAAACTCCCTAAATCAACGACGACGCGGACGGCAACGAAAACGGCAAAAAAGCAATAGGTTTGATTAGCAAAGCAACAACTTTGCACGTGTATCACGCTTTTTTTGTACATTTCTTTGCCGTCGTTGCCTGACTACAAAGTGAAAGTGCCTGAATTCACGTTTTGTCGAGGACGGGAACATACGACAACAACTTTCTTTTCTTTTCCTGAACTTTGATACAGTCCTTTAGAATTCAACTCCAAAAACATTTGCCAACATTTGACGAAGTAAACGAGATGGAATAAGCGCGATAAAGTTTGAGGCAGCGCAAATTCACTTTTTAAGTGACGTTTTTATAGCCGTCGCCGTCGTTGTTGCTTAAGCTCCCTAATTGTCTTTTCTCCCCACCTGTCCTCTCTCCTAACATAAGGGACTTGCTTATACCACAACGGTGACTGACTAAGTCGACTAAATTGGAGTTCAAGAGAGGAGACTGCATACATCCGAGCTCACATTACCAGTAAAATTTTTCAAATCAGTGGTTATTTCAAGTCGTTGTTGTGCGGGGACAGCAAAGAAATGTACAGAAAAGCGTGATACACGTAGACAGTGTTGACATTCGTTCTCTGACGTTCCCGTTCACGTCACCGTCGTAGTTTCGTAAGCTGATCAGGGTATAATTCAGGAAGGCCATACGCTCGTTAAAGTTACTTACTGACCTTCTGTATTCCACTTCTCTTGTTAGGATTGTCGATTTGGTGGCCAGCATCGTACGCAGGCAAGCATGTGACGCTAAAATAACTGGATAAGCGGATTCCACCGCTCGGCTCGAACCTATCAGGCTCGAGATGACCGTGTAAACGCCCAGGGAATAATCAATACTTAAAAGCTGCTTGTCAGAGCTCTTGCCTTTGAGTTGAAAACACTTCTTTAAATAAACAACGATAAAAAACAATATTAAAAAAATCGAATTCACTTCTGACCTTGCGGCTTGCAAAAAGCTTTGTTGTACAAATCCTGGCTGATAGAGAACGGCAAGGTCTTAGGGGTTCCAATCCCTCCCGGAGGGGGAGGGTAATCAACAAAGTTTTATCGGGGAGGCTCCGCCCCGAGGTCCAGCCCCTTACCCTTTTATATTCCATTTTCAGCAGAAAAGTTGCCCCTTTCGTATGCAGTGGAACCCCGTTAAATACGGTCAGCAATGGGGTCCAAAACATTTGGCCGTATTACCGGGGCAAGTAGGGCCAAATTTCATGACTTAAGGATCATGAAAAGTACACCATACATCGCATTCGCACTTCTTTGTAAAAACTACTTTAAAAAAACCTTTCCTTTCCTTAGAAATTGGCTATTACACCGCCACAAACAAATTTTAAGTGAACTGTATTTCAAAAACTAGAAAAGAAACAGGCTTAGCTTACTAAATGGAATTGACATGACACAGGCATTTTAATTTTCTAATTTCGAATGAGTTGCCGTATTAACTGGGTGAAATTATAAAAGATTCCATTGTTAGGGTTTTTAAAATCTGTCCGTAGGCCGTATTTACGGGCCGTGTCATTAACGAGGGATTTTCATAATAAACTGACTTATCGCCGATTTCATGGTTAAGAAAAAGTGATCGTAAATAACGAGGTGACTGTATTACCGAGGTGGCCGTAAAATGGGGTTACACTGTACCTTCTTTTGACAAACGGGTAATTGCATACGCACTTAAAAATTATGCGACAAGGGAAATCCACCTTTACACACCATTTGAGGTGGGAGAAAAATTTAATGAATATTAAATATTTTTAGCGTCTCTACCCAGTCCCTCCCTCTGTTTTCAGCCTCGCTGCTTTGCAGTTACATTTAGTTACTGTTCTTTAAATGAAATCGAAGAAGAGCAAAACTTCATGCTAAACTGCACTCTTTACCTTAATGAAAGACAATATCTCTTTGATTCTATAAGTCACAAATATCCTAATTTTCACCCATTGAGTGCAATAAACTTGGCCATTATATTTTTCTGGCCTTCAAAAAAAGTGAAAGTAGATCATTAAACATAGCTACAACAAGACCCCCAAAAGATATAGCAAATGATATGAATGCTTGGCTACATAAGAATGGCATGTGTCAGTCATTGTTTGCCGGCGAAGTACTCGGCCGGAAACAATCCACGCTGTCTGATGCGTTGAGAATGCCACCAGCAGAGCTCCCAAAGGGTCAGGGAAAATTTTTATGGGAAAAGATGGAAAAGTTCCTACAAGATAAGTGCGGGCAGGAACAGCTCATCGCCCTGAAAAAAGGTACGTGGTTTAAAGGTCTATGCAATTCATGTTAATCGATTTCGAAAATATGGCCAGGTAGAAGGATAAAACAGTGGGCCAGGAATTAAACCTTAAAGTAATTAAGGCCACGTTTTTTGGAAGTTCAGGTCCTCGAAACTGAATTAAGACTTATCTTGTTGCCAGGAAAACGAAAGTCAAATGAAAATGCAGCTTCAGCATCGTTGAAGAAAAGAGTGGTATTTAAAGAGTATCAGTGGTCTGGATTGAGGCAAGCCTTTCAAGGAACTAATGGCCATGCAAGCCCAGAGTTGACAGAAAAATTGGCCGAGACTCTAGACTTGGAGGCGAAACAAGTAAGACTAATGAGTTTTACAACTCTGTGTATAATTATTTCCTTAAAAAAGGTGTATTTAGTTTATTTTATCACATATTATTGATGATAATTTTATCGATAACTATACTATTTAATTATAATTATGCAATAGCCTTCTACGCAGGCCGATATGATCTGATTGTGTGATAGCCTCCTACGCAGACGTTCTTAGGACTCGTCACGTGTTTCTCCCCCACGTGGGGGAGAAAACGCGTGACGAGCCCTAAGAACGTCTGCGTAGGAGGCTAATCGCGTGACGAGCTCAAAGAGGTGTCTGCTCGCGTAGGAGGCTAGTCATTCAAATACGTTTGAAACATTCCTTATGTTGATCACTTCTTGTTCCCCATATTTCTTAGGTTAAAACGTGGTTTCAAAACCAACGGAACAAAGCAAAAAGAGAATATTAAGACGCCGGGCTCGTCACGCGTTTCTCCCCAACGTGGGGGAGAAAACGCGTGACGAGCTCTAAGAACGTCTGCGTAGTAGGCTAATCGCGTGACGAGCTCAAAGAGGTGTCTGCGTAGGAGGCTAGTCATTCAAATACGTTTGAATCATTCCGTATCACTTCTTGTTCCTCATATTTCTTAGGTTAAAACGTGGTTTCAAAACCAACGGAACAAAGCAAAAAGAAAATATTAAGACGCCGGGCTCGTCACGCGTTTCTCCCCAACGTGGGGGAGAAAACGCGTGACGAGCTCTAAGAACGTCTGCGTAGTAGGCTAATCGCGTGACGAGCTCAAAGAGGTGTCTGCGTAGGAGGCTAGCCATTCAAACACGTTTGAATCATTCCTTATATTGATCACTTCTTGTTCCCCATATTTCTTAGGTTAAAACGTGGTTTGAAAACCAACGGAACAAAGCAAACGAAGAGAATATTAAGACGCCGGGTAAGACGACAACCAGACTGGACGGCAACCTTGAAGCCGAGAAGCCGAGAAAGGAAAAATAATTTACGTTTGTAATTGAACCCGGGTAATCGAACAATTTTATTATTATTATGTTTTTTTTTTACAATTTACTACAATCTAATCTACGAAAATAATAATAATGTAATCGAACAATAAAATCAGAAAGAAAATCATAATGCAGTCTCTTTGATCTCTTGTACAGTGCTTGTCAACAAATCATTTCATTGCCGCCTTTGAAATCTACATTTAAAGAATCACAATCAAACGCTCCCTCAACGGAAACAGGCTAATTTTTATCGATTCAATAGCGATCGATAAATCCGATAAAATCGATAAAATTAACACTTCGTAGGCGTGTGAGTATCGATTTTTATCGATTGACCGATAAAGTGGATATCATTTAAAATCAATTAATCGATTTTTATCGATTTATCGAATGATTTTCCGATATCAATTTTTATCGAATGACTACGCCGGGTAAATGTTTAAATGAAAAGTGTCCAAATTTTGACAACCTGTGAGAGCCTCCGGTGTATTGATCATGACGTCTTTAGCAAACGGCAACATCAATCAGATTTAAGTTGTCCGCGTCTTCCTTGTATACCGACATCAGCATAAGGTTGTTCATCCATTTGTGCGTCATGGTAGACCTAAGGTAATTCTTGATTCTTCATAAGGCACTGTAAAACCTTTCACTCAAAGCATTTGTGGCAGGCGTAACTAATCAGGGGCACCCAATGTCAGTTTTTGGGAAAATATCTGTTCGGAAGACGATCTGAGATCTAGAATTTTCGGAACATTTGTTGTAAAATTTCTTGCTTGCCCACCTCTCCTAGGATTTTGGGTGGTATGATTGCCCATTTTTAACGGATTTTTACCCTAAAAAGGTCAGCTAGAATTTTCGGGAGCCTTTTTTCTAGCTGAATTTTCGAAAAGTTAAGTTTTGATCCCTACAATTTTCGGATCACTAGACTTTCAGCTAGGAAATCCGAACAGATGAAAAATTTTTAGGGGATAAAAATATGCCTGTATCTACCGTTTAAATACGACAATACGTTGAACAACGCTATGTTTAAGTGGTTTTAAACTATATTCTCATTGGGTTCCCCTGACTAATATCAGTTTCAAGAAAGTTGCAGTCTCACTGAATGATCATGAAGCAATGCCATTTGCATCAAGAAATTCTATTATGGATGACACAGAGGCTATGGAACTTTCTTGACCTTGCATTTTCAAAATAGTAAGCTGCGTTTCAAGACGTTCCCTGCTTATAGTTGCAGCTTGGTTGATAATGACTTACTTGAGAAATGGCTTCCTGAAACTATCTTGAAAAGCAAGTTTTCGAGATTCTTATAGATTTCATTGGCGTAGCGTAAGATTGTGAAGGTGTACGCAAAGGGAAAAAGTTGGAAGTTCGAAGGCGATCCGAAGTAGGGGGGATCACCGTCTGGGGGGCATGCTCTCCCAGAAAATTTTTAAATTTAAGCAATTTAGGGGCTCGGGAATGCCATTTCCTACGTTATCCACGGGACAGTTTAATAAGTACGAAAGAAAATGCAAATGGTTATATATTTTACCCATCTCCAGTGTTGTCGTTAAGGTACAGTGATTACGGGAAAGGGTAAAACAGTGACGCCATCAAGGAAATTACAAGCAAAGGGCGAGACTGAGCTTGTATGACAGCTGCATGTCTGCGTCTGTTCTCGTCGCTAGTACTAGGGACCTTAAGATCCGAGGACGGCAACGGCAGAGAAAACGTAGCTGAAAAAGTGAATTCGCGTTCTTTCAATCTTCATTACGATTAGTCCAAGTCACTAACTTTGTCAAATGTAGGAGAACCCTCAGTAAAGTTGAATTCCTGAGAACCATATCCAAGTTCAGAATTAAAGAGACAGGAAATTTAGTCGTCGCTTGTGTACTTCCTCTGTACATCGTGAAATTCGGGCATTTTCACGTCGTAGTCATGCAGTGACGGCAAAGAAATGTACAAAAAAGCGTAATGCACGTGCAAAATTGTTGTTTTGCTAATTAAACCTATTGCTTTTGTGGCGTTCCCGTTGCCGTCGCCGTCGTCGGATCTTACGGTCCCTAGTGACTCGCTGGCTAAGGGCGAGACGTTTCCCTTTCCGGGCGGGAAAAAGAAACCAATTTAATCCGAAAAATTTATCAGCGACCTTTGTTTAATGATAAAAATGCTTTCAGGAAATCAGCATATATATATATAAAAGATTATTTTCCAGACTTTCAGCTCTAGTACGCACGGGTGTATATGCGTTTATGGACGCTACGCTCCTGGATTTCATAGTGGTTGATCAATCCAAGCCCAAGCTCAGTGTGTGAGTTTAATCATTAACACATGTAGTTTCACATTGCTTAATTTAAAATGGCCTTGAATATAAAGGATTTGTGTGGGAATTCAGGTAAAAGATTCAAATCGATAAATACTCGCTAGAATGTTCAATAAAATACAGCTTACCGTATTTACTTTGCTTGTTTTTGTTTACTGTGTGGTTATTTTTCCGATCCATTGCGATTTATGCGATTTCCTTTAACCCCAAGTTTCCACTGCAGCCACTGGAAAGCCACTGAGCTTGGGCCGCCTGTGGACGGACACCTCTCTAAGACGGACACTTAGTGCCGGTCCCAAAGGTGTCCGTCTTGGAGAGAGTTGACTGTACGTCTGTTATACTAGTAGTCTTGGTCAGTTCCGGGAAAATGTGATTTATGTGCTTTTCTAGCATTACAGGGATTTAAACAGACTTGGGACCGGTTTAAAAATTAGCCCTAACAACATATTTTTTAAAATCGAAAGGGGAATTGCGTTGTGTTTTTGACTCAGGGGGGAGGGGGGCACGGGCCTACTCGGCCCCCACTATTCCTACGTCCCTGACTACAATATAGTTTATTAACATTTTCCGTGTAATTTTAGCCATTACAGTATTATTATTATTATTATTATTATTATTATTATTATTATTATTATTATTATTAATGATAAATGTTACTTTTTTTTTTTTTCCTTTACCCTGACATTATCAATATTGTAATCGGCAATGCCATCTATTCATGGAAATGACAATAAATGTTGTTGTTGTAGTGTTGTAATTGTCAAGTGACGTCTGCGAGTGATACTTAGCACGTCGCGCTGCGACTTCCTTTGACAACCATTGGCTTTGCATGCAAGCTCCAAATCTTCTTTAGTGCAGAAAAAAAAACCAATGAAAAATCAAAATTTTTGTAGAATGAAGCATTTTAATGGTGACGAAATTCTTAAAAGAATTTCGTCACCATCGAGTTCCTATTGGCTACTAGTATAAACAGCTTTCAGTCTCAAACTATTTATAGATAGAGGCTTCTTGGTCTTTCCTTCGTTTGTCCGTTGATAACGCTCGCCAACTGATGATTGACTGCTCATATATGACTAGCTTGAAATTCCTAATAATTAGGCGTAAACAAAGACGCTATATCACTATAGCCTAATATCTACACGCTTTGTGTGTCAAGAAAAGTACTTCAAAAAAACAAAAGAGCTAAGGGACGGACCATTAGAAAAGTTATGGGGGGGGGAATTTTCGAGCCGCAGGAATTTTTTTCGTTAGCAAATTCCTTTTATGAATTTTTTTTAGGTCATAGCATGAACATTTTTTAGGGTTCATTGGCATGCAAGAATTTTTTTTTATTTAATTTTCCCTTGCGCGAATTTTTTTTTTGTACTTCGCCCGCCCCCCCCGATAAGTTTTCTAATGGTCCGTCCCTAATAGTACCCCTCGGGGATCTATTCCCTCGGGAAGTGTTCATTTAGATCTGTCATGACTCAGGCTCGCTCAAGTGTTATTAAAAATGTTCCAGAAGGCTTACCGCGCGCCCTTTTAGCTATTGTGACTCATTTGTATGAGGTAGTAGTCTCTTGGACTCAAACACTTGATAATTCAACTTAAACTCTGCAGTGAAATTTCCGGATGTTTGAAGAATTGTCTTAGTCACGTAATCATGATCGTGACACAGCGAACACATCTGATCTCTCTCGCTTAGTGGCTCGCAAATATAATGGTCTTTCATTGCGAAAGTAATGATCATGGATACTATCAATAAGCTTCTGCTAACAGCCTCTGAATTCACAGGTTTCTCCACCGACAAGGTATATGTTTATAATTAGCTATTTTAAGTTCCTGACTACTGAGCGAGAACAATGTTTAGTTTGCATTACGCACATATCATCTCTCTTACATTTTCACTAATTACTTATCTTCTTTTCTAGATCAGCTTTCTGTTTTGCATGTTGTTATGTGTTCCTCTGGGGCTCGTGTTTCGACTCGTTTTACACCCGAGCAAAGTTTCTACGACGACAAGACGAGTGACTGGTCTTGTTTGGGGGGTCGCCCTTGTCGTTTTCTGTTTCGGATGGTAAGCAATTTCCATGTTGTTCTGTTTAGTGGTCTAAGATACGAGACGTAAGTATTCTGAATCACGAGGAGAGAGCTACGATAGAGCTAGAATAGTTTCAAAGAAGACCTTAACAAACAATAGTCATTCAATGGAGTCCTACGGCGTGCGTAACGAGAATAATAAAACCTTGGCCAGATCACAAAGTGAGCAAGTTAATCTTCAGCGGTAACGACAAAGATCAAACTGTTCTAAATCATACGGATTAAAAACACACACGACAATGGCCTTAGTTATTAAACCTTCCACCCAATACTTTGGTTCGAATTCAAAATAGCAGTCTATTACTCTCACCATAGTTAAGTAATCTTTCATCAGAGGCGGCTTAAATAATTCGGCATTTGGCTGTTTTTTCTTTCTTTATTTTGTATTTCTTTGCAAGAAATGTCTATCACCTCGACGCTCATTCACACGGAAATGTGTTCAGTAACTGAACAATCAACAAACATAAGTAATGCATATTTGCCAATATCATTAACCAATATTGTAAAACAGTGTGTAAAACTCAAAGCCGATATCTCGCTTCTTCTCTTCCATCACTCCCCAGTCATTTTTGCATTGTTGCGGTAGGGTCATCAGATGTTTGCAAAGTATTCAAAAAACTTTACTAGTACTAGTAAAAACATTTTTAGCAAAAAACTTTAACAGTGGAAGTTAAAGAAACAAATTTATTAAATTACACAATGTATACTAATAAATGGAGAAAAGGGCAAAAAAGAAACGACATTTTGCGAGAAAATGCATTTAGTAGTATTTAAAGACAATATACAATAAAGTACAATAATACAATAACCTTTATTTAACGTGGTTCTTAGCTAATTAGCTACTTTACAGACATGCCAATATACTAAGAAATGGAGAAACGGGCAAAAAAGTAACGACGTTTTAGCGAGAAAATAGATTTATTAGTATTTATATATATTATACTAATAAATGGAAAAACGGGCAAAAAAGAAACGACTTTTTAGCGAGAAAATGTATTTATTAGTATGTAAATATAATATACTAATAAATAAATGGAAAAACGGGCAAAAAAATAACGACTTTTTAGCGAGAAAATGCATTTATTGGTATTTAAATATATTCTACTAATAAATGGAAAAACGGGCAAAAAAACGACTTTTTAGCGAGAAAATGCATTTATTAGTATTTGAATAAAATACACTAATAAATGGAAAAACGGGCAAAAAAGTAACGACTTTTTAGCGAGAAAATGCATTTATTAGTATTTGAATAAAATATACTAATAAATGGAAAAACGGACAAAAAAGAAAGGACTTTTTAGCGAGAAAATGCATTTATTAGTATTTGAATAAAATATACTAATAAATGGAAAAACGGGCGAAAAAGAAACGACTTTTTAGCGAGAAAATGCATTTATTAGTATTTAAATATAATATACTAATAAATAAATGGAAAAACGGGCAAAAAAGAAACGACTTTTTAGCGAGAAAATGCATTCATTAGTATTTAAATAAAATATAATACTGAAAGGAAAAGGCATTTTAGACAGAAAAGGAACGGACAAAACACTTCGAAAGCAGGAGAGAAAGAAAGCTACTTTCTACTGTTATTCTGTCTCACTTAACAGGAGATACTTGGTGGAAGCTTCAATTGGTAATTTTGTTTTTCCTGTACCCTTTACTTCCTTTTAAATTATAGTATTTTTCCTCTCTATCTTTCGTGTGTTGCAACCGTATACAAGGTAATTTAATTATTGTAACTACTCAGCTCGTTTAGTTCTTTTTGCTATTCTGAGTAGTTTTTTGCCTGTCTCTTTTAATTCAAGCTGTCCTTGTAAGTTTTAAGTTGGCAAAATAAAAAGGTTGGTTGGTTGTTGTTGTTGTTGTTGTTGTTGTTATTCCGGTTGGCGGGATCTCTAGTCTACCCAGAAGAAAAGCTGTTTTTTCTCAGTCACGCTGTTCGCTTCCACATTTTCACCTTCCCCGGCCCAGTCCATTTCAGTGCAGTTACGAAAATAAAAAGGAGGCTGTTTTTTGGGGGGTGCATTAGAGAACGGGGTTGAAAGAAATGTAAAGAGACGTTAATTGACCTCTTTTAAAATTGCGTTATTTCCCATAAAAGTTACCCTGTAACAACACCCACCCTTTGAAAATCTCGCTAAAAGGTCAAGCCTTTTTCGCCCATTCCATAATTTACTAGTATAATTTACTTATATACCATGAAATGAATTTCGCGAAAAGTCATTTCTTTTTTGTCAATTTTTCCATTTATTAGTATACAGTAACATTAAGAAAATTAATGAAAAATATTTTTCACTGTTAAAGAATTTTGAAAAAAATTTTTTTTACCAGTACTAGTAAAGTTTTTTAAAGATAAAAACTTTGTAAAAATATGAATTCCCTCGCGCTTGTTAAATCACGAAAATACATTTCTTGTCAGTCAGTCTTTCAAGGTTTCCTTGCATTTCTTTCATTTGATTATTGAAGTAATTCATCAGAAAATTGACATTCAACATCAGGCTAAAGACTATCTAAATTTCAAATTAGGGAAACTCAAAGAAATACATAGACGTATTTCAAGAAAGTCAAATACAGGTGGCCAAATTCCCTACCAGCAGAGGCCTCTTTTCTCTGGTATTCGGTGGGCCGGAGGAAAAAAAACGGTATTCGGCGGGCCGGAGGAAAAAAAAACGGCTGGGTACGGAGCAGACTATGAAGTTGCATGTTTCTTCTGTCCTTTGCCGATTTATGGCTATTATATGGGTTTCATTGGAAACGGTTTGTTCTTAGCCGATTTTGTTTCAACCCTTTTACATTCGTAGGTTTCAGAAACAGTTAGTTTAGGAAACACTTTCGAAAACACTCGATTTTCCCCTATACAAGTCCTTAAATTTCGAACGTTGGGCCATCTGTGATTCAAATTGATACCTAGCTCCTTTGCTTGGATGTTTGAAACAAAAGAAATAATTTTGAGCCTCAAGGTTATTCTCTGATCGCGAGGGAAGTGTGAATTTTAATTTCTCGAAACTGGTCTATTTGTATAGGTAATAGCATGATTTGAACGGCGTCGCCTTCTTCAGGCTTTTTTTCCGCATTGCTTCATGCTACAGTTTATGGATTGCTTACTAATACGTCTAGCGCTGGGCCATGGAATCGGGGACATCAAGAAAGGGAATGCTAGCCTGCATGGCAGGCGCCGGTTAGCTTTTTGCTTACCCGCCTTTATTGAGCGCGCGAGGGAAACGCGCAAAGGGGAGAGCCCTCCTCTCCTCGTGCGCGGGCGCGTTCTCGAAATTTCTTCCTCCGCCCCCCAAAAATCCTGCGCCTGCTATAAAAACTAGTAGTTAGCTGGCGTAGTAGGCAGTTTTGTTTGTCGGGCGTGCAAATAAACGGGTAAGACGCTTTTTCCTCGCTGTCTCCTTTTCATCCTCCGCTTTTTCCTCGCTGGCTCACTCAGCTACGCAGCCACTGAGTGTTCGTCCGGTTCAATACCAGCGTAATAACGAGAAGGGCGTATGGCCGAATTCAGCTTTAGTTTTTATCCGTTTTCTGTGATATGAAAATAAGCAATGGGTGAGAAATACAGTCTGTTGGTAGTAAGATGATAGAGCTAAACGACACAGTTAAAATGGTCACTTTTCAACGCGTTTCTACTCTTGTCACGGAACATCGCTCGCATGTCGACCCTTAGTGAATCCCTTGAGTGCGTAGAGGTACCTGCAAGTAGTCAAAACTTGCCAAAGTGTAATAAGGAAACAAACACTATACCAACTCCGTAAATTCGAACAGCCATATCTCTCCGGAAATGGCAGCCATATAGACAGAGAAAGACATGCAGGGAGTCAAGCAGAAGTATTTGAAAGCAAGATAGTCGGGATTGCTATTCCAAACTTTTCAAAGTTATATTCGTATTTCACAATGATTCATGAGACGTTTTTATCGAGTAAAATAGCCTTATTGTTAGCATTATAGTTTAAAATGAACAAGACCATTTGCAACAAAAGAGTCAAACGCCTGTCTTTAATGTTTGCAAAGTCCGTAACCTGCGTTCAAGCGTTATTTTTTTCGGGGAAGCGTGAATTTCGGCTGGAAACGGAAGAAAGAACGCGTGATCGCAGGTTACAAAATCCGTAACAACGTCATCCGGCCACCTTTTCAACCTTCCCTTGTTTATGAATGAAGAAGATTACAAGAGTGGCTAACCCCTCTTCAATCATTTTGCTGCGTTTCATGCAAAGCAACGCTCTATACTACAGAGCACGTATGTTCGTTAAAAGGGTTCTGTTCACTCCCTTATTAGACATTTATTTTTACCTTTAGGGAAAGTTTGATCCTTTTCGGGCTGAGTGCAGTATATTACATTTTGACGGCTGTTGTAAATCCTACAGTAGTTCACAGGTAAGTCACGAGGACAGATGAACTCTTTCGAGATATTGGTTGTTTACCATTTACCACACATTCCAGGAAATTGCGGTTGGGATGCAAATGGTAAACGTTTTTTTTGGTTCGTCCCACTGGAAAATTCCCGGGACAAACGGAAATTCTGAAAAGGTGGTCCCGTTTTCCTCGTTGGGACGTTCCGAAAGGAAATTCGTTTACCATTTACAAGTTTCTTGAGTTTCGCACTAGTTTCATGTTGTAACTAGAATCCAGTCTAGCGCGGCGCGACAATCCGGAAATTTTAGGCAAATGGTAAGCGACACGTACCGTTCTTACCAACCGAAAATTCCCCACCAAAATTTCCGGAATTTTTTTATAAATTGTAAACAAACATTTTCTATGACTTCCTTGGGAACCAGAGGTTTTCTTTCTTGCGTTCAGCGAGATACTTCGGTGTCGGCCGAAGGCCGAAGTCGCGAGCAGCGAAACCGCGAAAAAATCTTTTAGCACGCGTCATTATCAAGACTTGACCGAAACTGGAAACCGCGCATGAGACGTGTCCAGTACCCAAGATATTTTTTGACTTCTTTTATAAGAATAACAAGGCAATAAACCCAGGGTGCTTTCACTTTTCCTTACAAACTAATCAGTAACCAGTAACCCCAACCATAGCTAGTAGTTTTTTTTTGTTTATCTTGTCGGCAGATATGTGTTCATTGCAGCCATGGGAACGCTCTCTGTTGCACACCTATACAGACAAATAACAAACTATGGCGTACATGCGGTGGATTTTTCAGGGTGAGTGACAAACGCGACTAAAATGTCTTTTACCTGCGTGGCTCCATTCGCCACTTTAGAAAAGAGAAGTGGACTGGAGCCGAAATTTGTCTCGCAATTATATCTGGGATCGTTATTTGGGACGTACTGGTCAGCGGATTTTCCCTGTCCCTAGTAACAGTCCCAGAGGTCTTTGCAAAAGATCATTCTCCTCAATTTCGAAAATCCTTAAATAACGATGACCGAGATCAGGTTTTATGAGCCCGCGAGACTAAGCACCCCACCCAAACCCTTTTTTTCACTAAAACCGCTGGACGCCACAACCTTGTTGAGGTCATTGTTATCTAAGGTCTTCCCTCAATTTCCTTCTCGTTTCTAAAGTGGGGAATGGCGTGGAGCCCGGCATTTGTGAAATATTTTGTTAATGGCTGCTATTTATTTTCTATGTTTTAGACCATTGATGTTAATCGTGCAGAGGGTTATCTACATAGCGTACAATTTACATGATGGTAAGTTAATCTCAAACAAAAATGTCCTGCGCTATTTGATGTCGATAATAGCAGGCGAGGATAAGGTGTTTGGCATTTTGCACTCGCTCGAAAAAGTACTTTCAACGATTGAGCGCCGCACCTATAAATGCCACATGACAACAACAATAGAAAGTAAAACGCGCCGCAAGAAAAAGTATTTCGTTCTTTCGGTCTTACTGGCCCTCATATAAGCACCACACTGGGTGCTAAAACGCGGCGCTCTTTTCGAATGCTGAATAGGTAAAATGTGGTCTGTAAGCCTATACCAGACGATACCAGACCATGTTAAACTGCAGTTTTGCTGTCCTATGCAGGCTACAATTCTTCATACCACTGTTCAATATCCCATATATGAGCAATGATACCCTTTCGTAGACCAAAATCCTCAGATTCCTGTACTCTATTCCAGACTAAAGCACTTGAAAATCTTGGAGTTCAGGGAAGCTTTTTCCATGTCGGTGGTGGTAGTGTTAGATAAGCCAATGCTTACTCAATCTGTTCTCTTAAACAGGCTTTGTGACGGACGAAAACAAACTTACAGAAGAACAAAAGAGAGAAAAACTAAAGTGAGCTACTTTTGATATTTGTTCTGTTTGTTTTTTTGTTGTTTGTTGCATGACCTTTTTATCAAGATTGACGTTTATATAACCTCACACCAATTTATCTTTTATTTCTAGGAAAGTGCCATCTTTACTAGAATACTTCAGCTACATTTTCCACTACAGCATGATTCTAGCTGGACCTCTTTGTACTTTCAAAGAGTTCAATGATTTTATCGATGGCTCAGATATCCGACCTAAGGTATGAATCAAACGTTGGTCTAGTTTCTTCTTCCCTCAAACGTTTTTGGTGGGACAGTAACGTACGTTTAGAATCGCGATCTAAACCGACGTTTGACAATTCATTTCGATACTCGATATCGATACTATGACCTCGCCACGCAAGAATTTCTAAGAGTGCATTCCTATATGGGAATCTGAGAGTAGATAGCGGTCCCTTTTTGCGGAAATATGAATCTTTATTCGTTTCTTTTCAGTCAAAAATCAAAAAGCTATTATTGTTCCAAATGATCTACAGTGAAGGTGGATTCTTTCGATAATATCTAAAAAAAAAACCAGACTCCCAGGAGACATGATCCAAGGGTGTTGCTTTATTCGGATCCGAGAAGAGGGAATATACAGAGCCACCATATTTTAAAACTGGGCAGGGATCCAGCAACAGATAGATCTTTGTAAACAGACTATAAAGACGTACTTCCCGTAAACAATTTGGTTGGTGCGGATGCAAAACGCTTTGCATTACCATCCTGGTGTGAGTGCCCGATGCATGATTTACAATGATTTTTTGGTTTATTTGGAGTTTTGGCAAAGAAGGGCAGCCTTTGACATGACCAGGACGTCTATGAAAGGCATCGATCGGGCAAGGCAAATTCACTGTCGGGTTTTGATTGGCTACAGGAGTGAACAATGGGTCCGTCGTACCCGCTTGGGAATGCCTGCTTTCTAGGTCCATAAAAGCGCAAGAAAAAGTTTGGCCAAAATCAGGCCATCTTGACCTCACCCGTAAGCAATGACGCATATGTTTAGTTCTCAACTTTATGATTGTGGAGTACGATCTAACTTAATTGTTAGAGCTGTGCATGTGTAACCAGCTAGCCTGCGTAGCAAGCGTTTCCGCGCGAGTTCGTCGAGAACGTTGGGACGAGAGCAAAAAAAAAAAAAAAGGAATGACGGGGGAGGGGGAGGGGAGAGAAGGAAACGCTTGCCCGCAAACCCCACGATTTTGAAAAACTGCGTACGCCCACAAACGCAGTTTTTGATTGGTGCGGTGCTGGTAGTGTTGACTCGAAACATCAATCAAACCAGGTATGTTTTGTTTACGTGCCTCGCAGACCTGGTTTGATCGTATTTGTGGTCGCAGATTACAAATGCTTTGGTCTGATATTTATTTGAATCATGTTTGTGCGAAGGTTTATCAGATCTGAGTCTCTTCGATCAAAAGTATAATTGGAGATCGAGCACTGGAGACTAGTGAAGGCCAGTTTATTGGGAATGACGGCGTGCGTATCTGACTGGAAAAAATGGTCTGTTTGTTGGAGATAACATCAAATAAATCAGAACATCAAAACTAGACACTAGCTAGCGCCGCCATGGAAAAGTGATTGGAAATTGAGCAGCATGTACTGAAGAGAACTTTTCGACACTGGCTAGCCTAGGAAAAGAGCCGCTCTGCAAAAATTATAGCCGGCGGAGTAAATTGTTCCGGATAAATCATTTCTTTGCGACGTTTTGAGAAGGGTTCAGATGAGAAACTGTAAAGAACAAGAAATTCCGCAGCAATCGCTTAGAGTTTCAACTTTCTTTTATCGTAAAGCTTCTTTTTATTACAGTTTTGCAATCGCGTGGAGTGTGTTTTAGGGAACAAAGTAAATTTTTCAAATCTGGTAACCTATTAGTTATCTATCCTGACGAGCTGTCAATTTACAAATGAACCGAACCGTGAAATATCCAGGGGTGTTTTCCAGAATCGTGGGGTTTGCGGGCAAGCGTTTCCTCTTCTCCCCTCTCCCTCCCCCTTCCATTTTTTTTTGCTCCCGCTTCAACTTTCGCGCCATACCTCGACTGGAAACGCTTGCTACGCAGGCTAGTAGCCAGCATGAGTTGTGATTGAGGAAGCCTTACGATATAAGCCCTGTGGTTTGTATTTAAGGCTTCCTCGCCTCTTTCGTTCTGTAGTGTATATTTTTTCTTTCTTTCTTTGTACATTTTGTGTGGCAAAATAAAAATAAATACAAATTAAATACAAATTATTGTTCTGCCCCTTAGAGACCTGGAGAAAAAGAGCCTTCACCTTTGGTAAGGATTGATATGTGTTCTACATTGCTCTTTACGTGTCAGCACACAGACAGGTTTTAACGCTCAGGTCAAGTGTTGTTTTGCTCCGACAGGTGGATGTCATTCGGAAGTTATCATCAGGTTTTTTGTGCGTCTTTATCTTATTCTTTACTGAGGATGATTATCCAATACCTAGAAATGCAGGTAATTAAAAGACCATTCAGCTAATTCTATTGCATTCAACGTAGTATGCTCTGTAATAATCATGAGGGTGGGGGGGGGGGGGGGGACGATCTAAAATACTATTGCAATTGGCCATTTTTAGAACTGAGAAGGGAACTGGAACCGAAATGTGTCCCGGCCGCAATTGTTTCTGGGATTGTTACTTGGAAAGCGCCGGTCAGCTGTTGGGCAACTTTTCCCGCTGTCTCTAGTTACAGTCCCAGAAGTCTCTGTGAAAGTTGACTTTGGCCAGTTTTTTTACGTTTCTTAACTGACGTCATAGACGTCACGCAAGACAGTGGCGCGGCAGCCTAGCTGTTTTGGCATGAGTGCAGAACCCAAGAAAATGGTGAAAGAGGTCACGGCTATGTGAAGACGAAATAGCAAAATGAACAAAAAAATTCTATCTTTTTGCTAAATGTGCACGTGTATATGAAACTTGAAAACAATGCTAGTGAATAATGAGGACGCTCACTTGTAAACACAAAATCTGAAGGGGAAAATTGGCTATATTTGAGGCCCTATTTAAAAGCCTTCCCTGTTTTCAATGTTCTTAAAACTTCCAGGGAATATTTCTTGACGATTGATCTCGGGATTGTCGAATTTATAGAAAAATTTATCGAGCGGTTTTTGGAAAAATGCGAAATTATTAGGCATGGACCAAATTACGTCCAAAAACTGTATCAAAAGCAGCTAAATGCAAGTTAATAAAATTCTTCTTACTCGCGATCGCCCAGAGCAATTCCCCTCTTTTTTCGTATGCGGTTTTCAATGGATTCAAACGACTATGAGATGAAGCCTCGTTCTCAAAGCTTATCATTTTCTTAAAATATTAGCCAATTGTGTAGGCAGCATGCTATTTCACTGTTTTTATTATTCTTAAAACTACATTTCAAAATATTTCGAAAACGCTCTCATAGAGTTTGTTCAAACTATGCCATAATGGGGGCAATTATAGCAGGTACATACTCCCTAAAGCGATTTCTTCAAAAAATTCCTGAAACAGAGAAACACAAAGATAAATGAAAAACGTAATGACGTCATTACGTTGCCATGACGACTCCGATTGCAATAAAACCCAGATCATTAGAAATTTTCATCTTTATATAATACAGTTGTGGTAACCTTTTTTCCATATCTTTACTCATGCCGACGTAGTTAATGCTCAAAGTTGGGAGGTTCAACCCCAAAAAATCCAGTCGAGCCACCTTAATTATATTCTACTTTGATTACGCTGTACATTAGATTTAAGGTGTAAATTTGCTTTTCCTTCTTGCGTTTTTATCCGCCCCAATAAATACGTTAAACACATCCTGCATGGACAATCAAGTAAACTGACATTTCTCTTTAATACTTTTTCAATTCGTAACGACAGATCCTCAGTTTATTTCAACTCAGCCTTTCTACTGGAGGGTTATCTATGGCTGGATAAGTGCTACAGTTGCTAAGCTAAGATATTACTTCGCTTTTAAAGTTTGTAAGTTGCATCAGTTTAATTATGTTTGTCCTTCTATTGAGAAGCCTAGCTTAACAACTGACCTCACAACTATTCCGGGCGTTAGCCTTTCATCATGCAGGACGAATCTAGGAATTGCGGATATAAAAAATGAATTTATAGGGGTAACCCTTAAATCCCAGTTCGATGATACAAGGTTCCCTCTCCGAGGGTCTGGTTGTTGAAACGGTAACTCCCGTCAAGTTAAAGGTTCTCAAATTGCATTAGCTTTAAACGTCATTCTTAGCTCACGCTGTCCTTCAGCCGAGTTGGTCATCACAATCATTATCATTTCTTTCATCGTCATTATCATCCTCATTATCACCATTATAATAGTTACCATTATCATCATCGTTATCATTACCATTTCTCTTTTGTTTCAGCGGAGGCCGTGAATAATCTTGCAGGATTAGGATTTAATGGCTTTGACGAGAATGGAAAAGCCAAGTGGGACCGCATTACGAATATTAACATTCTTAAATTTGAGGTAGGTCTTCCTCTTTCCCTGTTCCACTTTTTGCGGTTTTCGGGTTGGCTTCTCTTAGTTTTCGTTTAAGCCTTTTATCCAGAACATCGGCCGCTTGACGTTGATGATAACAACGTTGGGATCCCTTTCCCCAACCCCCGCCCCACCCCCCCCCCACCTCCCACCTCGTGCCACAAACCCAGTCGACCAAGCAGGGAGTCTAAATTGCGCCAAATCACAGCCCATGGTTCATTAAGGCAAATTCAGCAAGGTCAGTCCGGCAGAAATCGACCCTCAAGCGCGATAAAGGCAAACCACAAGGAACCAATCAACATTCATTACTGCAAATGGTGAGTTATGTTAAATTTGCCTTTTGTTTTCTTCCCGTTCGTACAGTTTGCTACAAACATTAAGATGGTTTGCGACAACTGGAATATATCTACCGCCCTGTGGTTAAGAAGGTTAGAAAACGTCAATTCATTTACGTTGGGCAAATCCCCATTGTATTCTATACTAGGTAATATTTTTGTTCTTTTTCAGAACTGTATATGAACGATGTTCTCGGCACAGGACCCTAGCGGTGTTTATTACGTCATCTGTCTGGCATGGATTCTATCCGGGATACTATATGATGTTTTTGTCGCTTGCACTATTCATAGAGGCGGCAAGAATGGCAAGTATATTTTAGCCTGTGAGCAAGCTCTCCATTTGGGGGAGTCACGTGAATTCACGCGACAGCCGCACTCGAAAGGAGACGCGCGTTTGGAGTTCGCCGGTCGCCTGCGCGTTCTCTCGTGGCCTGTCTCCAAAGTAGCCGTTAAAAAAACCATAGGGTACGACCGTTGCTTTTTTTTCTGTTTTCCTCCTTCCCCTTCCATCTATTTCTCTTTTTTTTCCTTTCCATTTCCTGTTGTGCTGGTATTTTCCCTGTGTGTCGGACCCCAAAAAAGTGCCTTTAAAACTCGCACGGGATTTTACTGATTGTTTATGTTATGTCGTTTTCAGGGTCGCCGAGTGTTCAGACCTTACTTTCAGAAATCATATGCCATGGCTTTGACGTATGACGTGATCACATGCATTGTCACAGTATTGTCTGTTGCTGAGGGTGGGGTACCCTTTCAACTGCTACAGCTGCGAATGAGTCTTGATTATTGGAGGTATTTAACAGAGTAATTAGTTTTCCACGAACATGCACTTTTTTCCCACCAAGAAAACTGAATTTGTGAGCGAATGGCTATTTCGAGACCGAACGACTTTTCGAGACCCTCTGCTGGTCACTGTATGTATGTGATGTCCTTTTTTGGAATACTGTGGGTTGCATTGATTCTGTTTACCCAAATGGTTACCCAACCGAGTAGGAGAGGACCCTGGGAACGAGGTTGATGGTTACCACCTAACGTACTAACCAGCCAGTGCCCGGTTATTTCATTCATTTCGGTCCTCCGCCGGGCCACCTGGTGGGAAATCATGGGGTTATTGGACGTTCGCCTTGTAACCTTCATCCTCTCCCAGTGTCATTTTGAAAGGCACGTAAAAGAGTAAAGCAGAACAACCAAAAAGAAAACAAACAAACAAAATCCTAGAGTAAGCATTAGCCTCCTTGGCAAGCGCATAAGAGATATGAGTCGCGAAATAAACTGCAGGAAAGAGGTAGCTTCCTCTCTCCTCCCGCGCATCCTCCTCCCTTCCTATAGAATCCTAGAGCAGGCACTAGCATGCGCAACAGGCGCAATGAAAATGAAAAGGCGCGCGATAAACGATACGCCCACGAAAGAACAAGGCACTCAGGGGCGGATCCAGGGGGAGGGTGCAGGGAGTTCGCACCCCCCCGAGATGACCTGCAAAAAAACTATGTGGTTTATTGGTGTTGAAGTAGAGCAAGAGACGAGTGCACCCCCTCCTACGAAAAATCCTGGCTCCGCCCCTGGCACTTGAAGAGAGGGGTAGCTTCCTCTCACCTCGAGAACAATAATGAGGGATAGTGATAATGGAGAACTCAACCCCCTTCCCCCTAACAAGGTGTCGGTCGTCTCATGATCACTCGTGGTGGGCTTACATTCCATTCCGCAAAGCTATTTCGGTGTTTGTACACAAACCTTCCGCTTATTTCAGACTCAAATTGAGTCGATATTTTTATTTATGTCTTGTAGGTCATTGTACTTTTATGCGCATATTTGGTCTGTGTTCCTTATCCTATTTTGTCGCATGCGCGGTATGAGGCCAAGACCTACAGAGAAGCAACAGAAAGACGAGCCTACAGTGGAAATGAATAAGAACTGGATAGACAAATTGGAGCACAAGGGAGGAAGTGCAGAAGTGAACTACACAAAAAGAGTCAAACTTAATTAACTGCCAATAAATGTACTTCGTTCAGTCTTAAAATACTTTTTATTAATCAAAATTAAATTATCGGTAACTGTATCACCTAAGAGTGTATTAAAACAGACTGTTAACTTATTATTTTATAGCTGTCAGTTATCCGAGAATTCGGTTGTGAAAAGACTTTTGACTAATCTGATACAAAGAAGTTCCTCAAATGGCTGAATAAATTATGAAGGTACTTTACTCTGCTTAGGTAACCGTTGTAAAGTTGTCAATTCTCTGAAAATGCGAACATAAAAGACTTTTGACTGATTTGATCCTGAGAAGTGCCTCGAATGGGCTGAGTAAACCGTAATTCCCGACCCTAGGGGAGTGGGTACAAGCTTTCGGCGCAATGATTTCTGGGATCGTTTGGGTGGACAAGCGTTACTAATGATTGGTTAATGGTAGCCTTGAATACCATCGACCAATCAAAACTAACGCTTGTCCGACCAAACTTTCCCAAAAATCATTGCGCGGAATTCTTTTACCCATTCCCCTTATAGTGTCTGAAATGTATTTTTTAACAAGTTTTGAATTTTTTTTTTCCAAGCGCGCAGTTTCATTTCGTTTTTAAAAAACAGCTGCTTCATTTTGCTCTGAAAGTTCCTCCGTCCTCTTACACACTATTGTAGATCAAACCTTCCACATCGATGCGTTTTTGTTTAAAAGCACATACATTTTTTTGCGTTTCGGCCTTGTGTGCACACTCGGAAAACGAAGGTTAAAACGCCGTCGAAACTGAAGTTTTATGAAAACGGGGTTCCGATCGAGGTTTGAGTGTAGACTTGCTGGTTTCCGACCAAGAGATCACAGTTACTTTATGGACGAACTAGCAAGTTGCCACCACTGACATAGCCTGATTCTCAGACTTCCGAGGTCGTTCGCGGTCCTTTTGCTTCTCTCCCTCTCCCGTACAGAGTAGGGACCTTACGAAACAACGACGACGACGGGAAGGAGTACGCCAAAAAAGGAATAGGTTTAATGAGTAAAACAACAACTCTGCACGTGCATCACGCTTTTTTGTACATTTCTTTGCTGTCCCTGCACAAGTATGACGTGAAATGACCAGATTTTAAGTTTATTTGTGAACGGGAACGACAACGCGATATAACTTACCACCTCTGTTTGAACTCGCGCGCGGTCCCCTCTCTTCAGGTCCTACCAAAATTCTCTTCTTTTAAGTAACAGGGCGAATTGAGATAATCGCGAAAAAGTTTAAAACGATGCACAGTCTATTTTTCAGTGACGTTTTCATGGACGTCGCCTTGTCGGATCGTAAGGTCCCCAGTATATCAGACGGGAGAGGGAAAGAAGCGAAGGGACGGCGAACGACCTCGGACGTCTGAGAATCAGGCTACCACTGACATCGTCCCATACTGAATAAATTCCGTTTGTCCCCCTCCAAATTTGAATAAGCATTATTCTCTTTGGCGATTGTAAAGTCTTGTAAATCGGAAGAAAGAGTGAAAACAAGGTAACTGGTAAACAGAAGGAGAGGAGTGTATTATGGGAGGATGGAGATGTGGCGTATAAAGCGGAAAAATTAAAAGCAACTTACAATTCCGAAAATATTTGGGGAGGAAAATAAACTTATTGCCAGAAATGCTTTTCCGTTTGCTTACTGTGAACGTGGGGCTGGGTGCGCATCGGTCATTATGAAAACTGGGGGGTGTTCTTGAAAAAGACTAACTTTAGTTTGGACATGTAAAAGAGGTCTCAGCGCAGGACAGTCACTGGTTAGTGTAAACCAGACCTCTTACGGACGTTTTCCTCTTTCGTTGGGCTTTCTACCTCTCAGAAGAGAGCTTAAGCAACAACGAGGACGACGACGACGACGTTAAAAAACAATTGGTTTTCTGAGCAAAACAACACTGTTTGTACATCACGCGTTTTAGTTCATTTCTTTGACGTCTACTGTAGGATGAATTTTCCCTTCCCTTTTTGAACCTGGTAAATTCCAGGAAAAACCCAAATTTCAACTCCAGGAAAAATCGCATACATTTGACAAATTGAGCGGGTCCAAACAGACGCGAGCGGGATAAAGTTTACACTGGTTTCCACCGTTTTACGGAAATTGGTCAGAGTTTTCATAACATATCACATCTAAGTTACAAGGCTTCATTCAAGGTGAATGGAAGTGGCCAAGATCTTGTCTGAATGACTCGGAAACCCAGGAAAGGGGACTTTAGGGAATTTAAATCTCAAAAATTTCCCGGTGGCGCACTAGAAGCTTGCGCCTTCGGCGCTCGTTTAGGACTCGGTCAGTCATCACGGAATTTGAGCTACATCCTTCCGTGCTCTGCGTCTTCGGGGCAGGTATGATGCTTTGCTGTCTCTCTGCTTAAAATCTCGTGTTTTGCCTCGATCGTTGTCATTTTGTCCGCGTTCCGATGAAGGAAGATTCTGTCGCCCCACCCTCCTCCCCTGGTGCCGGTCGACGCGGCTACACTCAACCTCGTCCTCAGGGCTTTTCCCTTAAAAAATGGGTGGGGCAGGAAAAGGGAAAAGCCCTTAATTTTTTTAAGGGAAAAACCCTGGGGACGAGGTTGGGCTACGCTTAACTTCCGCTCCATACCTTAGTTGCCACAGCTGTCGCGGTCTCCTCCCATAACTTAGTTTACCGTGATGTGGTAATAGGTATGTAGTGAGGATGAATTACTATTTAGCGAAGTTTTCACTGCCGTCGTCGTCATTGTTGCTTAAGCTCCCAAAAGACAGTGGACAACCCGTGACGACACCCGTGACCAATCCCGTGACACCCGTGACTGTACTTAGATTAGGTTCCAGTCTTTCCTCGTTCTTACGGTTTGCAAAATGGCGATCAACTTGTTTCCGAAAATTGTTCTATTTGGGGATTCAATTACTCAAGTAAGTTAGTTTATCGGTTTTAAAACACAAAACAGATTGAAAAAAATTGACTTTCTTTATATGCCGTGTTAATTTTCACACCAGGTAGAGAGCCTGGAATAATCCTTAATCAAATGTCTTCAGGTGCTTTAGTTTTAATAGACACCGTAGGTTGTATTTAATGGCAGTGAACTATTATATTTCCTACAGGAATCTTTTTCCGAGGGCGGGTGGGGTGCGAGAATCGCAGATTATTTTCAAAGGTGAGAGAGTTGAAGTTTTGTCTGAACTCTTCTGTTTTTGCTTTTTGTTCGCCGATTTCCCAGTCAATCTGTTTCCTTATGTATATTTAATATTGCCACGAATTAGGGTAGCCCACCTCCCAAGCAGGCGTTCTTTTGGCCGTAAGAACGTCTGCTTGGGAGGCTAGGAACAGGCTAGAATTAGGGCCATTCCAGTAATATCCACAACCCCCACCCCCTATGCATGAGATTTATCTGAGCAGGGCTTTATAAAAGTTATTTTGGGGGGATACTGGCATGGGGCAGGAGGGGGAGGGGAAATTGGCTGTTTTGGTATCTTTGATCTTTGGAATATTTCTGAGAGGTATGAGAAAAATTGGGCTGTTTCTGAGAGGGGGCGGGTAGTGTGTCAGTACCTTTGATCTTTTTTTTCATTACAAGTAGGGGTATAGTCAACTTACCTCATCAATGAAGGGGGTGGGTAGGGGGGGTATCAATGGAATAGCCCTTTAGCTCCGGGGGGAATCCCAGTTGAATGTGCAGGGATGCTTGTCGTCTTGCTTAGGCTGTAAGTTAGAGGAGGCACCCTAGGTTTTCAGGATAGGAAGCTAATATTTTTACCCATACCATTGTCGCTTAAGATAATTTCCTTGAAAATGATCTATGATCCAGATGTTTTTTCAAACTTGGCACAAATGACAGCCATATATAGGACATTGAGAAACTGCAATAAAAAGATGGGGTCACTGTGCTTGTTTTTGCCCTGTGTGCCGGTAATTCTGTAAGTTTTTTTTTTCCTAGTTATGCTCAAAATGTTCAAACTTGAACAACCATGAAAAATTCATTATCATGTGGCAAAAAGTAGTTCCAAGACCAACTCCGTTTTACCCGGGAAGAGTTATTATAATCACTGTTAAAACTATATGGACTACAAATGGGACCTTTTTCTACCTCTCTTGAAGTGATTGGTGAAAATCAAAACGTCCTAATTATTGTTGCAAAGATTATGCTATGTTTCTTTAGGGGTATACTTCTTATTATTGGATAAGCATCTCTGTCAACTTTACACTCAAGTCATGAGTCCCTCCACCCCCTGGATAAAATTAAAACTGTATAAATGAAAAGAAATGTGTTAACAGAATATTAAGTAAAAATCAACTTTGATTTTATCTTACAAAAACCTTGTGGGATCAAATGGCTACTTTTTAACCCTTATTAACTCTTGATTCAAATTATCATATGATCCAAATGGCCCATGCACGATTCTGAAAACCCCTATAATTAAAAGTCCTGTATGACGGCCATACGCGTCAAGTGGTAGGGCTGGAAAAAATGGATATGGTCCTGCTAGAAATGTGTACTGATCGATGCAGGTTTGCTCCATCAAAAAAATTCAGAAGCAAATGATCATATGATAAAATGCTTATTGACGGGGTTAGGTCAGGCTGGACATGAAAATATTTGGCTCTCAGTCAAGACACATGGACCTCACTACGCTCAGTCCTTACATACTGACATCAAGCCAAATATTTTTCTGTCCTGCCCTCCCACTCAGTCAGGACAATAATTTATTACATATTACTGTATTTGAAAGTAGATTTTTTTTCCTCACTGTCAAAGAAAATATTTTCCCTACCAGGAAATGTGATGTTCTCAATCGAGGATTTAGTGGATATACCGCGGCCTTCAACAAGCTGATTCTTCCCAGAATCCTTCAATGTGATCACAGTCCTAAAGGAAGTGTGGCGGCAGTTGTTTTGTTACTAGGTTCTAATGACTCTGTTGTGGCCGATTTAGATCAGCGTAGTCTGACTGTGGAACAGTATATCACAAACATGACTGACATTATATTGCAGTTTACGAATGATGGGATATCTGCCAGTAAAATTGTTTTACTAACACCACCAGCCATATCAATAGATATGTACTCAGAGTTCTGTAAAGAACAAGGTAATTTGAATTGCTAACTCTATACGAGTATGGAAACATTCTCCTGTTATAATTTTATAACCTTTATTTTAGGAGGGTGACACCAATTATGTACTGTGAAAAGTATTCTTCCTTTTTCTTTCCCGAGAAAAAATTTATATCTTGACATTGATACCAGTAAACACGGTTTTACCACTACCTTGTTAATCTAAAGCCTAAACTCCAAAGTGACTTTTTCCCATAAAAATAACAGGGTTGCTCATTACACCTTAAAGTTGGGATTGAAATTTACAAAAAGGCTGCTGTTATACTAAGTGTTGTTTAAGTGTCTTCTAGTGTATTGATCTGAAAAATGTCAGGAAACCATTTTGCTCTGGTTAATTTGCTGTTTTAGAACTAGTACTTCCTAGGGTTGAGAGCGAGTTATTGGGTCTGGATCCAGTTGTTTAAAAGTTAAACTGGATAAATCTCTGACTATCCAGTTGATAGTGCAATCAGTTTTCCTAACACTCACCTGCTGGATAGTGAGTTATTAGCCCACGGATATTGTTTTTCCAACCTTTCAAACAAGTTGGGGCTTGTGATCTAGCTAGCCTGCAAGCAAGCTGAGAATCCTTTCAAGTGGCAAGTGAAGCATGCAAGAGAACATTGGAGCAGGCATTGAAGTGCTCTTGCATTAATCCTTTTTTTTTTGCCGCTTGCAAATCAAACTTTTTATGATTTCCGTTAAATGGGGAGTTTGCTTGCAGGCTTATTCTTGACAGGTCTTCCTTTAGGTCTTTGTATTTTATGGTTTACCAGGATGAAAGGTACCCTTAAAGACTTTGTCTTACCTTTCAATTAACCTTTCAAATAACCCATTTTTCAAGACAGTGTCAAAATATTTATCCTAAAAAAATGTTTAATTTTTTTTTTCTCCAGGAAGGGAAATGAGCTTGACAAATGAGAGAGTAAAACTTTTTGCTGAAAAATGTGCTGAATTGGGAAAAAAACTTGGAGTGGATGTTGTTGATCTGTACACTTTATTTCATGCACAACCAGTAAGACATCCTGCTGTCTATATAAATTGTTAGTTATTGAATTGATTTTGTTGTCATAATAATTGGGGGGGGGGGGGCGAGGGTTTCACTGGCCTGCATTTAAATCCTATAGAAAGGAAGACAGAAAGAAACAAAGGAAGGAAGCGATATTGAGATAAGAGAAAAAGGGGAAAACCTGGAAAGAAGAGAGGGGTAACAGGAGAAACAGAGATGGGAACCAGGAGAGAAGTGGTGGGCAGTCCGGACAGAAGGGGAGGGAACTAGAAACGAAGTGGCGAGGAATCAGGACAGGAGCGGTGGGAACTAGAAGAGAAATGGTGGGGAATCAAGGCAGAAGGGTGAAACAAGGAGACAAGAGATTGGTATAGAGACAGAAGGGGTGAAAACTAGGAGAGAAGTGGTGGGAACCAGGGGCCTGATTCTCGAAAGTCCCGGTAGCTTTTCGGGCCCGGAAAGCTGTAAGTTTTCTGTTTGCCATATTTGTATTCGAGATCAAAGTTTCAAATTTTGACAATGATGCAATGAAACTATCAGTTAACGAAGCAAAATTGACTGGATTGTGAGCTTGGAACTCTGCTACAATTCAGCAAGTTTTAATTTTAAAATTTGCCTTCGGCCCGAAAAGTTTCCCAGCCTTTTGAGAAACGGGACCCAGAAGTGAAGTGGTGGAAAATCAGGGCGGAAGGGGCGGGAACTAGGAAATATGGAGTGGGACGTTGTATTGTTAACTAACAATCATTTTCACCGTTTTGTTTCTTTAAGAACTGGACTTCATTTCTGAGTGATGGTCTCCATCTATCAAAAGAAGGGAACCACTTTGTGGCAAAGCAAGTGATTCCCATTCTGGAGGCCAAGCTAGCAAAATTACCTCAGGTATTCCCTGATTGGAAGGAAATTGATCATAAAACTCCTGAGAACACATTCTGTAATTAAGAGTCACGAGGAAAGGGCCGTCTTTTTTTGGCACTACTCTATACTTAGGTAATGCTCTGATTAAGTGTGCTTTTCATCTCTTTCATAATAATAATAAGTGATAAAAGGATCCAACCTTAATAGGGAGCTTAAGCAACCACGGTGACGGCGGCAACAGTGGCGAAATTTTTACTTAAAAAGTGAATTCGCACTGTTTGAAATGTCATCGCTGTCACTCAATCCCGTTCAATTTGCAAACGTTAGACTACGAGTAGTCCCTCATTTTCGCACCGGGATAGTAGAGCGAGCGAAACGCGAGCGTGCGTGAAAATCACCCTACGCGAGACCGGCGTGGGGTGATTTTCACGCGTGCTCACTTTTCGCTCGCTCTACTATCCCTGTGAGAAAATGAGGGACTACTCGTAGTCTAGCAAACGTTGGAGAATTGTTGTGGAGTTCAATTCTAGAGGACTGTTTAGTAACTGAACTCTAAGTTCAGAAAAGAACATGGGTGTCTTCTTTCACGACCTCCCTTAAAAACGTGAAATTAGGACGTTTCACGTCGTAGTAGTGCAACGACGGCAAAGAAAATTACAAAAAAGCGTGATGCACGAGCAAAGTTGTTTCACTGACGTAAACCTATCGATTTTTGCCGTTTTCGTCGCCGTCGCCGTCGCCGTCGTCGTCTCTTGAACTTCCCAAATTATGAAGAAGTTGGGTACTGAACCAAGATGATTCACTTCTTATCTCTAAAGGAATCAAAACTTAGCGTCAACGCCAGGGTAATTGGTGGGGTACTTGGGGTAGCCACTTTTAAGATCTCTGGTTAAGTGATGGTAACTAAGGCAAGCCATAGACATTTTTTTCGAGTCACAAACTTGAATCAAAAAAAAGTTTTTCTCACTTACGAGTGAAGCGCGATCTGCCAAATAAAAATTAAGTTAACCAATGTTATATTTGAGCGCAATCCAGTTTCCAAAATAGAGGAGGTAAACATTTTGAATATGCAACAGGGGCTCGAAGAAAAAAGTAGTCTTTACTTTGTATGTCCGTTTTCAGTTAATTGAGTTACATTCATTTCGTGTTTTTAGTCTGTCCTTGCTTCCTTGTGTGTAAACTGGCCAATCTCGTTCTTATTCATTGTCATCTCAGCTCCTTCTTTTCTTCCCTTTTCCTTTGTTCTTAGCCGCATGTAGCAAAACAGGATAAGCAAAAGCGAGCAAATATGAACATAGAAGTACAAGGATCTGTAAAACAAAAATGAACATGTAGGCTTATTTCGAGTTTAAAATCAAAAACCTGGAAACACTTGGAAAATTTTGCTTCCTTTCGTCTCCCCCTCCTTTCTGCAATGTTGCAGCCATGTAACTTTGCAAAGGGGAAAGGCGCTTGCATGGGTGTCTCAAGGATTTTTGACATAGGTTGTAGTTACTATTCAAAAGTGGTCTGTCATTCAATTTGCCACTTTAGAAATGAGAAGGGGACTGGAACCGAAATGCGTCGCGCAATGCTTTCTGGAATCGTTTCTGGGGACGCCGGTCAGTTCTATATTAGCCTGCGTAGCAAGAGTTTCCGTTTGGCTTCGGAGCAAAGAAAGACAGAGGAACGGTTTTTTAGGTTTTGGCCGCTCGAGAAATGAAACGAGGGCCGAAAAATGAAAGAGGGGGAGGGGAAGGACGGAAGGACGGAAGGACGGAAGGAAAGATCTTTAATCTATAAAGGTTTCCCATTACATAGCTGTGGTTAGGTAGAGCTCACAGCGTTGACATACAGGTTAATTTTAAATATATAAATATATTAAGGTAAACGTAAGTGAAAATAAACACCATCAAATATACTCTTGTTGTAACAAATTAAATATTTAAATTACTTGTGGCTTGTTTGAAGCCATCATATGTTTCAGATTCAATCACAGCAAAAAAAACTAAACTTGTAATTATTTCCTGATGAGGATGGTCTTCTTAGGATTTACTGACAGGTGATTCTTTCCTTAGGCTTAATGTGGTCAGGTATCTAATCTTCAGGCAAACTGTATTGTTTACGGCCTTCCACATAAGTTGGAGTCTAGCATTTAACCTCCTCCTCTGAAGTGATGTCTAAGCCAGCTCTTTTAAAAGGTTTGTAACTACCCGGGTTCTCTGATGTAACAGGATTTGACCCTCCTGGTAACAGTCCCAGAGGTCTTAGCGAAAGTTAACCCGTCCCAGTTTCTTTCTCGTTTCTAAAGTGGTGAATTGTTTACCTCCAGTAGTCAAGAGACTTGCGCAGTTGAAGCAGCATAAACGGTAACGCGCTTGCGGATACAGACACTGCAGTTAAAATACACGTGATCACATCATACATTAACACTAAAGCACGTGTCTCCTGAAAGTAAGGTCTGATTACCCGACGTCCCTGAAAAAATAAATGGTAGAAAATGAAAGTTCCAGTTCCAAGGGGTTTTGTCCTTATACATTGAGAGGCGCGGGTTGAGGTCGGAGAACAAGAAAAGCTGCCTTGAGCCATCACAAGAAACAAATTACGGGAAAAAAGAAATCAAAATTGTGGATTAGTGTATTAACTAAAGATGTTTAAGATGTAAAAAGTAATACTTTTTTAAATTATAAGCTTTAAAAAGCTAATAAGACACATCAAATCTATTACAAGCATTTGATAACCTTTTTTTAAAGTTAGCTGAAAGATTCTTCAGGCATCGGAAATGAAGCGCGAGCGAGAGGAAGAAAAACGACTGACAGATGCTTCCCCTTAATTTCTTCTTCACTTTCTACTTTAAATTTTTGAACATGTTACGCATGATGTAAAAGCCTGGCCGACAGGCTATGGTTCTTTGAGCAGACTGTTCAAGTCGTCACTGGTTCCAAGTGTTCGAAAGCGCTGTCAAGCTTTAAGAAGATTTAAGAAATACTTTGAGAAAACCAACAAAATCTAACGACTTGCCATTCTTGCCGCCTCTATAAACAGTGCAAGCGATAAGAACATCATATAGTATCCCGGATAGAATCCATGCCAGACAGATGACATAATAAACACCGCTAGGGTCCTGTGGCGAGAACATCGTTCATATACAATTCTGAAAATGAACGAAAACATGACATAGTATCGCGTACAATAGGGATTTCCAGAAAATAAACAGATTTACTTTCTTAACCTCCTCAGCCACAAGGCTGTAGATATGTTCCAGTTGTCGCAAGCCATCTTTATGTTTGTTGCAAACTAGGAAGCAAGAGGAAAAGAAGAATGAGCCATCTTTGAATTCCAAAAACTCTCACTTTCAAAACGTGGCTAAGTGCAAAACCTTTGTTTTGAAAATGAGTTTTATTTGCATGAGAATGAAAAATCATTTTCATATCAATGGCTTCGCCCTAGCCTCGCTTTGAAGCAGAGGCTCGGGACAAAGATGGCCTATTTAGCTGTCACTGGACTCCGGGGCGGGGGTAACACTCAAGGGAAAGTGGGGTAGAGGCGCGTAGATGTGTGCCGCGGACCCTCCGTAAGACAAAAATAGCTCATTTCGCTACCCTTTTGAAAAAAAGGAAACCTTCAACATGCAGAATTAAGTAATGTGTTAGACTACCGTAAATCCTCTATTAAGTCCCCTCCCCCCTCTCTGAAATAAGCCCCCTCTCTCTTATAAGCCACCCTTTTTAGGGGAAGAAAGTCAATTTGCTCCCCTCTGTATTAAGGCCCTCTCCGCACCCCAAATTATTCTTCACTAATAAATGATAGACTGTGTTAATCAATCAAGACCGTAAAACTTCGTGTGGACTAATCCGGGATGGTTTATTTACCAATTGGAAGTTCGGATTTGATTCTGATCCTCGGCTGCATGACCTAAAACTTCTTATACTTGAGCTTTTCCACTTTGAATTCTAGGTTCTTTATGGAGAACTGATACCATCGTCGTTTCTAAATTAAATAAGCCCCGCCCCCTGTCAAATGGGCTTGAAATAATTAAGCCCCCCGGGGGGGCTTAATAGAGGATTTACGGTATCGCGGAATTGAAATTAGATTTTTGGGAAAAATTGTTGGTACCACACATGCATACCGGTCATCGCCAGCCTTCACACTCTTTTAAATAAGCTTCCTGACTAATAAAAACACACCTTAGTAAGTCACACTGAATGATTAACTTGTATATCCTTTTTAAGACTGAAGACCTTGAAAACCATACCCTGTTCAGCGGCACATACCCTTGTAGGGGCAATAGGCGTAAAGCTGTTTTGCGTCCGTGTGTGTGGGTTTCTTTTGCTTCGTCGAACTTTATCATTAGCTTAGAAAACTTGATCCTTGTGTTTTTGTTTTTCACGACGCACAGTTAAAACCCGCGAATAACTCTCCAATAAACAAACTGTGTGTCGCGAGTAAAGAAATAAACGTTTAACATGCTTCCATGCTAAACTGCATGAGACAGTTTGGAGTAAGTACCTCGACTTTAAGGATGTTGACATTAGTAATGCCGTCCCACTTAGCTTTTCCATTGGCATCAAAACCATTAAATCCTAAACCACACATGTTATTTACGGCTTCGGCTAAAAAAATAACGAAACAAAATGATCAATACTGACATAGGCAGACGTAAGGGGAGATTATCTGGTATTTTTGAAACGGATTAAAGAAAATTAGCTAGATCTGGGATAAGTTTTTTCAAATCTTTAATAATATACACGAAAAAATTACTCAATTCTGATTGGCTGAGAAAGGAGTGCAGCTCTTCTGTAACACGAGTGCAAAATGTGTAACACGAGTGCAAACTTGTAACACGAGTGCAAATTACAAATGGTTTCTGATTGGCCGAAAACACAAAAGAAACCAACAAGAACCAATCAGATTAGAGCTGTTTTAACAACACAGATTCAAGAAAATGGCCATGGTTTTCAGCAGACGACGACGGGATTAAATTTTGTCAGCAAAACAACAATAGAAAAGTTAAAAAAAATATTCCAAAAAAACCCGAACACGGTAAAAAGTACGTCTTTCTCGCTAAATGTATTGAAAATGCGTTGCTAAGAGAAAAATACTGTCGACAAAATCGAGGAAAATGAGCCAGAGAAACTAAAAAAAAAGCTACTCATAACAGACTACGCTAAAGTAAAAAAAATAAAGAACAAAAACGGTTGCAACAACACGCAAACCATGACAGCTACACTCTTCAGGCATTTAAATGAACAAGGATTATTCAATGATAACAACAGGGATTTCAAGTCATGTACGTTATTTGTTGCTCTCTTTGAGTCTTTTGTGGAGCGAAGACCTCTGGTAAAACATCCATGTGATGGTCTGTTTTTTTCCCACCTCAGTAGCAAACGAGACTGAAAATTTAAACTTCTGGTCCAAACTAAACCAATGGGTGAAAATACCACAACTCACACAATGAAAAGTATCCGTAGCTGGTACTAGCCTTAAAGAAAGTGAGAAAAAAGTTTACGAAGCATTGTGCAAGAAAAACAACATGCAGTCAGGTGAAGAAAGCAAAGATTGTAATTTCAGAACATATCCTCAGTGTCACAGGCCACAGAGGTATAAATTTCCTTAACGACTACGATGAAGCCGACGAAGAAGAGCTACGATGAATCTTGCATTAGCCCAAATAAAATAATGAAAACTCCAGCGCTGAGAAAAAGCAAATATTATATTAATACTGACAGTTTCCGACATCACAACAACTGTGGCTCCACTCACCCATCGATGGTAGCGTCGAAAGAAAACAAATTGCCTCCTTCATTTTCGGGTTTTAAATCTCAAAAATTTGTCCATGAATCCAGCTATGATGGGGTCTCAGGAACAGACAATGATAAACAGTCGTTAAAAATCCTTAGCAAGTGTCTTTCATCTTTGGCTGCTCGAAGCGTTCTCCTGATTTAAAAACGGCAGTATAATCTTTGAAAACGCTTCTTGTAAACGCCGAGCTCTCATAATCGAGGATGAATTTAAAAACACTTACTTTTGCTGATTGTTGTAAACCAAGTTATCTTTAACAGGCTGGTGATCATATAAAAAAATCCTTGCACATTTCCAAGTTCTTAGCTGAATGATTTTGAAAGCGTTGGTCTTGAAAAAGTTTGAATTTGACAAAGGTAGTAGTCTGTTTCAGCCAATCAGTTGAATGAACTAAAAACGCGCGCGCTGTCAAAATTTGTTGTCGTAGTTATGTTTTTCGTGTATATTATTAATAAGTAATCACATGATTTTTCTCTTGCAATTTGGAATAAATAAGCACTTGTAAATTTTTCAAAGACCACAAAGTGCACTCGCCCTACGGGCTCGTGCACTTTTGTTAGTCTTTGAAAAATTTACTCGTGCTTATTTATTCCAAATTGCACTCGAAATCATGTGATTACCTATACATATAAAATTATGACAACGATCACTAGGTTTTAGTTATTGAAAAAATGTGCATTTTTCTTGATTTTTTATCCGTGTGCTCAACATGGTTGCATCTCTCCAAAACGGATTACAAATTCTGTCAAAAGTTCTTAAAAGAGACAATCTTGACTTTTGAATAGTTAACGAAAAGGAGAACCCCGCCATATGTACGAAACTAAGGAAAACAAAGAGTGACTTACAAACTTTGAAAGCAAAGTAATATCTTAGCCTGGCCGTCAGAGCACCTATCCAGCCATAAATGACCCTCCGATAGAAAAGCTGCGTTGAGATAAATTGAGGATCTGAAAAAGAGTATAAGAGAGAAGGAGAACGATGTCATTCCTAGGAAACCAGCCATTAAGCAGTTCCTAGTGTTACAACAGTCCCAGCCCTTCTACCTTCTGTGAGAAAGAAGGAAGTAGTGAAATTAGTGGTGATAATGAAAGTGATGGTGGTGATAATGGAAGTGGTACTAGAGGTGATGGAAGTGATATTTTTAGTTAAAATGGTGGGGTGGTGATGTATGGAGTGCTACTGCTGTTTATGATAATTATATAACGGTAATGATGAAAGTGGTGGTCGTGCTTATGATGTTATTGCCAAGTGGTGGTGGAGGTAGGGGGATGATGAAAGGAGCTGTATTGGTTGTGGTGGTGGTGGTAACGGTCATTATGAAAGTGGTGGTCGTAGAGCAGTGATGCTAGTGGCGGTAGAATTAGTAACCGTAATGAATAGAGTGTTAGTGATAGTAGAAGTGATGGCGATGATTAAACGAGCGGCTGTGGTGGTGTTGGCAACGGTGATTACGAAAGTGGTGGTCGTAGAGCAGTGATGCTAGTGGCGGTAGCTGTAGTAATCATAATAAAAGGAGTGGTAGTGGTGGTAGAAGTGATGGCAATGATTAAAAGAGCGGTTGAGGTAGTGATGGTAACGGTGATTATGAAAGTGGTGGTTGTGCTAGTGAGATGCTAGAAGGTGGTAGAAGTCGTGGTGACGATGAAAGGAGCGGGAGTGGTGGTGGTTACGGGGTGGTTGTAGAGCTGATGCTCGTGGTGATGCTGGTTATTAAAGTGGTGCGAGTGTGGGGGATGAAGCTGTGCCAATAGTGAATGCGGTATATAGTGGTGAAGTGTTGGTGATTAATAGTAGTGTGGTGGTATTACTGATGAAAATTGTGTTGGTGGTGTCCATGAAAATGTGGATTTGAGCCTTGTAGCATTTTTATTTTGGTTCTAGTGATGGTACTGGTGGTGGTGATGAAGGTGAATGTGGTGTGATTTATGGCGTTGGCGATCCTAGTGATGTCGGCAATGTTGGCTTGGGTAATTGTGGTAGTATTGTTGGTAGTTTCTGAGTGTTGTTTGTAATGATGGTATCAGCGGTGGCGGTAGAGGCGGCTATGAGAGATTAGACTACGGATAGCAGTGTGGGTGATACCGGTGATGATGAAGTTACTATGATGCTGATTGTTTCGCGGATGGTCGTGAGCGAGTGTTGTTGGTGATGATAGAGTGCTTGGTAGTGCAGGTGGATCGGAATAGGACTGACGATCGGGGTAGTAGGGTAGTGTTGGTAGTTTTGGTGGGTTTGGTAGCGATTTCATTGGTAATTATTTGTTGTGGTAATCATAAATATGTAGCTCGTGTTAGTTGTGAGATGCCAATGGTGTTTGATTGGTTGTGGAGAATAAAATAACTCTCAACCGCTTAAGTTATATTCCGCTCAGTCTGTCTAACCAATAGGCTCGATTTCCGCCGTCTCTCGGATCCGATCTTAGTGCGGGCTCATTTTCTCCTGAACAGCGGCTGGTAATCGAGCCAATGTAACCAACCAACTGTTAGGAAATGTTATAACGTCTTTCAATATTTACCTGCATTTCTAGATATAGGATGATCATGCCCCGTCAAGAATAAAATTAATACGCATAAAAAGGCTGATGATAACTTCTTAATGACATCCACCTGTTACGGGAAAAATAACTGCATCACTGTTAAAAATACATTCGATCCAGTAAAGATCTCATCAAGAACAATTCAGAATACACACAGTTTCTTACCACTGATGAAGGTTCACTCGCTCCCGGTCTCTAAGAAACGAGAAAAGGCATTCGTTACATGGTTACTGCAGTCAGAATCAAAGTAGCTAGGAACGAGACAAGCCCCTTACGCTCTGAGAGAAAGAGCGCCAGACGATTCCAATGGCTGGATGGTAGTAGAGCGAGGGGCATCATGGGAGGAATAAGAAGAACAACAGCATTAACGGCATAAAACAACAACATAAAAAATGGCTGTCGAAGTTCACCTTCCCTCCATCATTTTGCGTCTAAGGCATAAAGAGAAAGACTTCTAGGAACGAGGTAAAGAGATGAAGGAGGTGGTCATATTACGGTACATACGAATGAAAATGCACGACCGACTACCTTTTGTTTGATATCCGAGCCATCAATAAATTCGTTGAACTGCTTGAAGGTGCAAACAGGTCCTGCTAGGATCGTACTGTAGTGGAATATATAGCTGAAGTATTCCAAAACAGATGGTACTCTCCTAGAAGACAATTAAAAGAAAAATAACAATCATAAACGTATGCCGCACATCCTAACCAATGTCAGACACAGGCTTACCGGAGTGCTTCTCTCTTTTGTTTATCTGTAAGGTTACTCTTCTCTGTCGTGAGACCTGTTAAAGAGATGAGGTTGAGCCTAGTAAGAATAACGCAAAGAAGGGGGGACAACGTACATTTCCGCGGTAGGCACAAAATGCAAGAGAGTTTGCCATAGGGGGCACGAATGTGGTGAAATCACTTCGCGGTTTATTCCCTTGGGGTGTTTGTCTTTTATGACGGGGTCCTGCCCACGAACGCGAAGACACAGAACTACTTTCACTCCACCTTCTGTGACAAAGCTGCAGCTAATCAGAACGGGATATTTGCAGGTAAAAATCGTTGCCTTGCAAATTCCATCTTGTATTCTTTTCTGTATTTTCTGAATCTTGGCCTGCTACGATTTTGCCTTAAATATCTCTTCCGGATTCTTGATAGCTGCCGCTATGCCTTCTTCCCGATCCTTGAACCGGGCAGTAAGAACTAACGACACACTGCCCAGGATATCTTTTTTTACTTTGATTAACTTACCATCTTGTAAGTTGTATGCTATGTAGGTAACCCTCTGCACTATTAACATCAGTGGCCTAAACAATATACAGGTAAAGCAAATCAATGAGAACCAGCTGCAGGAGCCCATCCCGGAGCGAAAATGTCTATGTACAATACTTGTATTACAGCATTTGCAGTGATCAGTTTATTGTAGAACGACTTTGACATCTCGCAAACCAGTCAGCAAGAGCTGAAGACCTGAACTCTGGTTTTTGTGACCTTTTAATGACGTTTGGTTTTCCTTTTTCACATTTTATACTTCGTATGCTCTCTTAGACGAGCGGGCCTTCCATTTTCGCTGGAAAAAGTTCGCTAAAATCAGCCTCTTCTTCAGGCCAGTTTGCTCTATTCTTGACAGGTGACATCACATCCTAAATCGCTAAGGACGACTGGGAAATCGTTCAAAATGTTCATCCTTGAAAACGCCGTGATATAGGCCTAGTATGGGAGTTGCTGACTCCGAGTTATTGAGCTCCTGTAATAAATACTTTTACTTCCCAGTCAAAGTTGTTTTTTTCTTTCTCCACCTCAACTTCCCTTTGCTCACACGATTTTTTTGTGGTTTGTGAATGGAAAATCGCAATCTTGAATTCAAGCACAAAATCTCTGGAAGACTTGGCATTTTTTAAAGTCTAAATCAGTTTCACTCACCCTGAGAAATCCACTGCATGTACGCCATAATTTTTTATTTGTCTGTATAGATGTGAAACAGAGAGCGTTCCCATGGCTGTAATGAACACAAATCTGGTGGGCAAAATGAACAAGAGTAAACAGCTGTTACAGTTGGATTTTTCTTAGACCATCACGGGAAATTACTTCCCTATGTAAGTAGTAAAGGTATGTACGGCGTACATATATACAGTTTTGGATGCCTTGCGGATTGAAATTGCGTGTAGAGTTTGACATCGGGTACGCGGTTTTGTGCGCTCCAGGATCCTGGAACCACTGTCTGGAACAGCGGGTTCAGATCTGAAATAGGATAGGGAAAAAATCAAATATTTTGTTCCGAAATAGAGTACGGTTTTTTAGGAATCTTTTTTGCAAACTCCGCCCTAATTTGAAACTCACTGTATAACACGTCAGTAATAGGGTATTTTATTACCGCTGATGGTACTTGAAACCATTAAATATATTGAACAATGGAGGTTTGACACAAAGGTTCAGTATTAAGATCTCTTTCGGGGAAGCACTGCACACGTGATCAAAATAGAAACGAAGGAAATAGGCCACTTCCGAGTTCCAAAAACCCTCACTTTCAAAATGAGGCCAAGTACACAACCTTTCTCGTGAAAATGAGTTTTATTTGCATGAGAATGAAAAATCATTTCCATATGAAAGGCTGAGCACTTAACCTCGTTTTCATGCAGAGCCCCAGGGGAACTCGGAAAGGGCCTATTCTTTTGCATCGTTATTCAAACCCAGCCCCTCGTCACTGTCTTCAACACTGCTCGGGATATTTTTCATGAGACTTACCTGTGAACTACAGTAGGGTTTACAACAGCAGTAACAATGTAACAAATGACACTCAATCCAGCAAGAATTAAAGTTTCCCTGTGAGTAAAAAAAAAGCAACAGCTCAATAGGATAATGGTATTCACTGGCAGGTAGTCGACGGCTACTGATGGTTATTTGTACTCTTTTCAACGTTCCTTAGGTTTTTAGCCAACCCTGCATAGTTTTGGAGAACGTTTCTTCGGAAGTTAATCCATATACTAAGAGATTTCCTTCTGACAGAATTGAGGTAGCATTTAAAAATACAGTGAGACTGAGGCAAAAGAAAAGCCGAAATTCCTGGTAAAATTGCAACACGAAGGTTACGATAGTCGCAGTATGGCAATTTAAAAGTACTAATTTAATTAGGCGTACGGGCCGCCATTTTACATTGTCATCCGAGCCAGTACTTTTATTTCTCAGTTAGTTTAAGAACCTGAGTATTGGTCCGTCCGGCCCCAGGACTCGAACCCGCGACCTCAAGCGCTCTATCGACTGAGCAAATTTTTCCGCGGTCGACAACGCATCCATGGCTATGCCCATTCTCGTTCCTAGAGTTCGTCCCGTTTCGCTCGGACAAGGGTAACGCGGACTCTGGGAACGAGATTGGGCTATGCCCTCTCTATGCCCGGTTGATATGGCTGTACGCATGCGTAATGTGCTGACCAGACCGCATTCTCGTCCCCAGAGCCACTCGGCTTAAGTTGAACGAGACCAAGACCAAAAGAAACAGTCAATGGGCTCTGGGGACGAGAGTGACCAAACCGCTGAGAAAAACTGTTTTTCACTACTTTCTTAAAAGTAACAGAAAAGTTTTATGGTTAGAAAGATTGGTTCGCAGAAATGTGCGTAAAAGGGGTTTTGAGTTTTGGTACAAATGTTCAGGAGGTCTGAAAAGTCCAAGGGTTCGAAAAATTAGGATAACGGTATTCATGCTAGTTACCACGGTAATCCAAATCACTTTCAAGTATACTCATCAATTTTTCTGTGCCTAACGACCGCCAAGCGCAAGAAATTTACAAAAAAAGTAGGAGGAAAAGGCGTCAAAGCTTAGCGGATTCTTAAGCTCTGCAAACTACCGATTTTTTACTAATTTGTTTCTTTGAAATTCTAGGTGAGATCAGTGGACAAATATTCTAGACTAAAATGCCTAGAGGAAAAACGGGATCATTAAAAAAACAAAACCTTTTGTTCAAGTAAAATGAAAATTTGTAAGCCCTCAGCAACGAGTTGTATATTTACATGCCGCGCCCTTGTTTTAACTACTCAGGAATTGAATAGAACCCCGCGCGCAAAATAAACTGATTGAGTACATTTAAACTCCAAGATCGTTTGTGTTTACTTGCACAGCCACTCCATATTAAGCACAAACAAACCCCCTAACTCGTGGTAAATTAAATACAAAAATTCCGAATTGTTTAAACCCAGTTGTAAAATATTGTGACATTGCTATTTTGGACAAATTTTCTCATCTTGCGTGCTAGTTCTGACCGTTAATTGTTAGCAGATATTTATTTATGAGGGTTGAACTCCATACAAATAATTGATTGTCTTTAACCTCTTTCCCCGCTCCGCGTCTCATTTCTCGCTTATTTTTTTCTTGGTGGTAATTATAATTTAATTTCTGAAAATAATCGCTTCCATGCGACTATTGATGCCAGTATTTGTATTTAGCAATGAAATATCTAAACCCAAAGGGCCAACTATTTAAACGTAGTGTAGCTAGTGTTTAACAAAACCGCGTTCTGAGTCATTTTGAATTTGCCCAACGATTTTGTCTAAACATTATTGTGAACTGTTTTGTGAAAGCATTTATCTTCTTAAAACAACCCACCAAAGAAGAGATCTTGAGGTTTAAAGATTCTTTAAACCGCGGTTTAAGTTAGACCTCGTTTAAATATTTGGCCCAAAGGGCCTGACTGCAATTGTCAGTACTAATGTTCGTTATATCGGGGTACGATCGGTGTCCTGTCCTATGAAGAAAGTTATTCTTTTTATCACGGGGGTTTCGATACATACGTTAGGACTTCGTGGTGGTAAGTAGCTTCATGGGCGTATACATTGTCATGGAAGGTCTAAAAAATTACAAACAGTTTTCTAACAAGCGTAATACATAACGGACTAGGAATTAAACTATGGGAAGGTCACTATAAGCTTACCATCCAAAACAAAACACCGCAAGGGCAACTCCCCAAGCAAGACCAGTCACTCGTCTTGTCGTCGGAGAAACTTTGCTCGGGTGCAAAACCAGTCGAAACAAGAGCCCCAGAGGAAGACATAACAACATGCAAAACACGAAATTAATCTAGAAAAATAAAGTGCCAATAATTATCAACAAGAAATAGAGGGAAGATTATTATAAAGCTGAATTTCCCCTGTCGTCGCGTAAAATAAGGCAATGTGTGGAAGGTCGTGCGTAAACGTAAGAGTTGAACCTCTCTCAACGTTTGCGTTTACACAACGTCCACCCTAAGAGAGAAAATTTTTAATCTGAAAATTGATTCCCTTTTTCATGGACTGAGGACACGTAAGAATTTACCTTGTCGATAGAGAAACCTGTGGATTCTGAGGCCGCGAGCAAAGCATTATTGATGGTGTTCATGATAAATCGGGCTTGTGGGGAAAGAGTATATTTACTGCTTTAGTGTGCGGAAGGTGAACTGCGTCACCTTCATGGATATCCATGGCCGTACGTAACTATTTCCGTTTCCTAGCTGAGCTCAATTAACAGCGCATAGTGCTTTCCAGATGAAGCCCGGCCATCCAATCACAGCGTTACCTTTAAACAAAAGATAGAAAAATTCTGAGAAAATAGACTCTGAAATAGATGGCTAATCGAATAGGCTTTATTTCTCTGGCAATTAATCAGTGAACATAAAGAAAAAGACAATTATCATAGAAACAGAGACTGGAGATCTACCCGGCAATGTAAATTTTCTCCAGTTGCGACGTTGGCAACAGTGCTTTCTTGTTGGAGGTTGGAGAGACTTAATTAAAATCTAGTTTCAGTGTGACGACGTTTAAAAATCCTGCAGCTAGCGCTTCTTACTTTGACGTAGTCACTCCAAACAATTATTTCCAAAACCACCCCTCTCTACAACAAGTTTCGATTACTAAGAGCGACAGTAACGGTATTGAGACCACCAAAAGTGTTCAGGTCACATCCTGGAGATGGTCTCCCCCTCGATCCTTGCGAGAGAAGACGACATGTTTAAAAAAAGAAAGAGTCAGGAAGGCCATCAAAATCTATTATTGGGCTCCAACGTCGCCGGTTACGAGTGCCCGCAATCTACCGGGACGTTTTGTCACTCGATTCATGACAAAACGTCGAACTGCATCGCACTTGATTCCGAGATGGAATCGAAAGCTTGTCTATCTTAAAAAATGTTTTATCCAGCCTGGTCTGAAATCTCGGAAGGACAGAATGAGGAACACGTTCTAATTTAAAGTACTGTTTATATAATACATAAGCTGGGGTGCTTAACCGAACTTTGAAACACTTTTACGCCATACGTTACCGCTCAGTTTGACTGGGTAAAGACGCTTAGTGAGGCCTTACTTAACGTGGTCTTACTAACACATCATATCATTGCTTTATTGGTCATAAACCAGTGAGCACAAAAACTTTGAGGAAAGTAAACAGTAAACACAAACTGGCAAATACGTTTGATCTCTGTAGTAAACAAGCAAGGCTCAAAATAGATTCGAAAAAAATGAGATCGAGGTCAGATGCAAGTCAGTCCAAGATGGCGTTCAAACCGTGAAATCAAAAGGCATTCAGGGCCCATTTGTTCAATACACTATCCACCGGATAAATCTCTATCCCATGAAAAATTCAATTGTTTTTCCTAATACTTATCCGCTGGGTGTTGATTTATCCGGGTGAATCGGCGTTATCCAACCAGTTTGACAATAGACTACGAGTAGTCCCCCATTCAGTTCCTCACAGAAGCATATGCTTCTGGTTCCTCAGGGATAGTAGAGCAAGCGAAACGCGAGCGCGCGAGAAAATCACCTCACGCGAGAAAAAGCGACACACCGCGTGTCGCCTTTTCTCGCGTGGGGTGATTTTCACGCGCGCTCGCGTTTCGCTCGCTCTACTATCCCTGAGGAAAAATGGGGGACTAGTCGTAGTCTGCTTTGACAACCTTGTCCAGAATGATCATCCGATCAGGCTCCAGTTGTTCAAACGTTGGATAACGCTATCCAACGGTTAAATCACTATCCAGCGGGTAAGTATTTGGAAATCAATTGCGTTATCCACTGGATAGGGTTATTCATCTCTTCAGCAACTGGGGCCAGGAGTGTAAGTCCCGCGGGAAAAAAAGACTCGAATATTATGTGTCCCTTCGTCGAACACAAATGTGTGTAGTGTAAAAAGTAATAGACTGCCTTTTGTGGACTATGATTTTTATCTTTTTAAGAATTCTAGGAAATAACACTTACTCATCGTAAAACTACCCTCCTAGAGGATCTCACCCGAAAAAAAGTCACCGGTACACGTTCGCACAGAAATGTGGCGAAAAAAAAAATGATAGTGTAAAGACTTTTCAGTAACAGCTATTTTTTTTAAAAAAAGGTTCAGCTAGGTTTCCTGTGTCCGCACTGAATCAAGCAGTTCTCCTTGAACGCGCCTGGAACGCGCGCGTTCCTTTTGGAGACTTTTTGACATAGACAGGGATTGCTCGGAGCATGCAATTAAAAGGACATGGGAAGGGAGGAGTCGGAGAGGGGTGGACTTTCAGTTTGCCTTTGCGTAGTCCCCCCATCTCCCGTCAATCAGCCATGGGAAGATGGATATCAAGGATAGAAAAATGGGGCGTTCTGGCCTAATTCGCCGGGCTTCATTCTTGATTTCGGGGGAGACAGGGTGTGCATTTCCATTTTATTGTGGGTATCCCTGGAAGCATTGTATGGTTACCCTAGCCTGAGACCTTGCCCTCTCCGTATTATCCCTCTATGTTTCGCCTCGCCCGCTCTTAGAAAAAGAAAAAAAAACAAACAAACAAATAAACAAAAAAACACGCCTGAACCCACAGGTAGCCCAAGCTCGAAATATGAGCATCGGCATTGTTGCGTAACATTCGAAATATAAGGATTTGTATGTGGAAAAAACCTACCGTTTCTGTAACCTACGAAAATGAAAGGACTTCAATAAAAAACAGCTTACCTTGCATAAAATGTGTGTTACATCTCTCCTGTGTGGTGCATGAGCCGATTTATGGCCGTTTTAGGGGTTGTACTGTAAACGGTTTTCTCTCTCTTCCTGAAGGAATCTATTAAAGAGAGAGCAAACCGGTTCCAATAACACCCATTAAATGGCCATAAATCGGCATGGAAACCACACAAGAAAGAAGGACATACAACTTAAGCAAGGTTAGCCGATTTTTATTTAAATCCTTTTACATTCGTAGGCTACAGAAACAATTGTTTTTCTCCTTTACAAATCTTTTATTTTGAACGTTACGCACAGTTTCGAGTTTGGGTAACCTGTGCTGAAATCACTTTGCGCAGGAGAGATGGGAACGAGCTGGAGAGTCATATTGCAAAGATAAGATCTGCGTCAAGAAGGCATTCAAAGGTTTTCTTCTTCAGATAAGCAGAGCCTTGTTTCTTTAGAGGTAAGAGTTGTTTGATATAGACTACTTATCGTATACGACGCAAACACGCGCGCTGCGTGTGAAATATTGGGCAGTCAATCAGAGTCAATGAATTTTCTTTTGCATATTTATGGTGGAAGTCAGCGGAAGTTCGGCGTGCATGCAAACCGCACTTCCCATTGCAAAAAGATGGTCAGAAGCTTTCCTTGAACAATTGGATAATATAAATATCTCGGATTTGACAGTTATGTAGTTGCGTAGGTTTGAGGGGGATTGTAGTTGGTTTGTTGAAGGAGATCGATAGACGGTGAGACATTTCTGAGAATGTCTGGGATTTAATAGGTGTGATCATATTACTCAGGGTAGCGATCTAAAATAACGACCCTATTTTTCCTTCAACTTTATTATTTTTTAACATTTGTTATTGTAGAAAATGATCTCCAAATCAGTTTGCATTGTATCTACAGTTAAACCTCTCCACAACGGGCATTTTCTTCTGTTCCCAAGGTGGCCGTTGTGGAGAGGTGGCTGCTATTATAGGGAGGTTGCTAGCAGATAATGTGGCATGTTTATTATGCTAAGTCTGTGCTTCCTGTATCTCATAATGGTAATTGAATCATATATAATAACTAGTAATAGTTGACACTACAGCTGCCCCCGTTCTTTATATTGTCGGTCAATAGTATTCTTGCTGGTAGTGTAGCTCTTTGAAATATACCGATGCATAATGAAGATTTTCACACATATTCCATACAATAGGTGAGATAAATACAGGAAACGCAAGGTTCCAAGCACAGTTTCAGCTCGATTTACACAGCTTTGATCAAAACATTCTCAGTTTCGAGAATAGTTTATTCTAAACCATAAGAAAAGATTTAATTAGAAGTTGAATTATTTACTATTTCTCTTTCCCTTTTTACATTCAGTTCATTTTATTTGCGGGAAAGTAAGCCTTAGAAATTAAAAGAAGGCTTGATCGATTCACGCTAGTGCATTCTAGTCTTATTTGAAACTTTCTAACGGAAGAACATCTGTGAGCAGGGAATAAGCCGGCACAGATTTTGATTGTCGGCGAATTTCTGTAAATGTCCATCAATCTGCTAGTGATAAGCTAGCCGTTGTTCACTCGTCTTGCTTGTTTGGGGCTGAGTTTTATTCCCGTCAAAGAGAGAGAAAGATTGTCTGGCAAGGTTTCCAATATTAATCAAAGATTTGTGAACTCGTGTCTGGCAAACTCTCCAAGTGTTTATATAAAATTATACACAGTTAGATGCACCTTATAACCTCCCCTGTGCTTAACGAGTGTCTTTTGGTCCATAACTTTCAAAACAACTGCTCCACAGAATGTCACTGCGTAACGCAAAAGAGTATCGAAGTATGACTGCACAATAAAATTAATGTCACAAAATCTACCTGAGCGGTCCCTTCAGGATTTTCTGTCTTTACGTCATCCTAACCATTTCGTACTTGTGGGCGCAAACAATAGAAATGTCATCATTACCTACCGATTCCTCACGGCCCCAGTTCGAGCAAATCAAGATTTTTTCTAGTATACGTACTGACTGCATATTTGAACTGTAAGTACCCTTTGTCCTTAATATACACACGAGTTACTAGGGTGCCTCCTCGGGATTTCACCTCTGGGCAAAATCCCTGCAGGGGCAATTATAATTATAGATATAAAATACTTAAAAACTTGAATAATGTGTTGAATCAAAATGTTACCGTGACAAAACAAACAAGGTTTGCATCACTTGCCATGTTTATCATAGACAATTTATGCTTACTGAAGCAGTAGAAGTAGAACACAATCATAAAACGATTGCTGCGATTGATATCATCAAGGTGCCATACGGATCAATGACTAGTTGACATGCAGTTGACTATCAACATGCAGTTGATAGTTTGAACGTTAAACATGAATTACAATCGAAAAAAATAAAGCAGTTCTCTATCATGCAGACATTTCCAAACGATGTTTCTCAGTTTGCCACTTGAAAATCATGTTTTACTTTTTGCATGAATTAAAGCAAAGGTCAAGGAGTAGTGACGTCACTGGACAGCATTAATGGCCGGTCGATTCAGATGTTACTGAGGGAGTAATAACGACTCCAAGTATTCGCATGAAATTCAGGCTACATTCTTGACTTTTTCATCAGTCACTGTAAAAACTGGCCGTTGTCTAGAGGTTACTTTGGGAGTTGGAACATGCTTTAGTGGCCATTGCTGTTGTACAGAGGTGGCTATTTTAGAGAGGTTTAAACAAGAGTCAATGTATGGACTGTCCTCCAAGACGAAAAAGTGGCGGTTGTAGAGAGGCCGTGGCTTTTTTGGAGAAGTGGAGGTTCGATTGTAGTCACTTTCAATACATGTTGTCAAGGGTAAATAAGTGTTCTGAAAATTCTAATTTTTCCATGGACAGCCAGCCTTTACAACTGCAGATGCATTGTCAAAAACAAAAATAATTAAAACCAACTGAAACTTGCATTAATTCAGTGTGTGCCTATGTATTTCAGAACATTTCACCAAATTGCATTTAAGCATCTCTAGATTTTTTAAAGTACCCTTTGGGAATTAAGATGCAGTGATTGAACACCCGCATGTAAGAAAACATGATTTCGGGCCTCAGGCTGATATAGTTCTTTTTTATTGGTTGCTAAGTGACAAATCAGCCTGAAGATGTTCTTAATGTATCTTAAACTTTGTTTCAGAAATACTACACATAACATGTTACTAGAGGTTTAATCAGCATATTTTATTATAAAAAAGTAAGTAAGTTATAAGTAGACAAAAAATAAAATGCTAAAGAAACCCTGGCAACTGTTATAGTTTTGTAATAATGTCTAGTAGCAACCATAGTTACATTGCTTTCTTATTGCAACATCGTATCCCTTATAATTTTATATAAGAACATGTTTTATTTATCAGGCTGAACTGGTTCTTATATAGATGGTTCTTTATGGGCCAAACTTCAGCCTGATGTTCTTAATCCATTTGTTCTTATATGTGGCTGTTAACTGTACTTCTGGAACTCCTGACAAAAAGTGACCGTAATTGTTTCTTTGCAATGAGACATTTCCTCCTACATGATTGAATTTTTGACTGCAGTGTTGAAATTCTTCAATTGAAGTTGAACACAGCTTAAAGCTTTAATTTTAATGATATGATTTTTCATTAAATTTTTCTTTTTCTCTTTTCATTCTTTCCTTTTTCCCTTCCTTTCTTTTTTTTTAAGGGGGAGGGTAGATGGGTCATCTCATTTAATTAAAGGGCCAGGTGAAATAATTAATTTTCAAGTGCAGAGGGGTCCTTATTTATATCACACGTAAAACAGCAAACTGCATACACGTAGCCCATCTGAGTGACGTACTGCAGTGACTATTTGCGACTATGAAGTTGAGGACAGAAGCTTGATTAGCTTTGATGTTAATTAAAAGATTTTTCATTTCATTGTTTTTTGAGGGTGGGGTGAGGGGGAAGGGGTAAGAGGGATTATCTCAATATAGCATAAGGCCAGGGTGTAAAGAAAGTAAGTTTTACAGCTTACCATTTGGGGAAGCTGTAGCTAATTAACAATATTATTCATCGAGCCTGATTGGGCTCTGAGTCAATAGCCCATGAGGCCAAAGGCTGAATGGGCTATTAACTCAGAGGCCATGAAAGCAAGAGGAATAATTGTTTTAGTGAAATCCAACTAGTTGGTCAAAAATATCGAGACAAAACAACTTTAGCCATAAAGTTAAAGCTAGACTTAAAGCCATTGTTTTGATTTTCAAAGCTGGTGCTTTTTGCTTCTAGTGGGCTATAACATATAGCCTAGTAGTAGCTCAACCAATCAGAACGCAGCATTGATAATAGACCACTAGTTGGATTTTACTAACATGTACTAGCCCAAAAGTCATTCAACCTGCCCGAAAAAATTTTTTGAAGAACAGGATTGATAACAGTTCTTCTGTAATTTAAATTCCCCGAAAAACCTCACCTGCCCATCAGGCAAATTAAGAACAAAATTTACTAGCCCGGTAGCAAAATCCATATGCTGAAGGGCTAGGAAAAATATTCCCCCGGGCATGCAAGGAAAGTAGTGTCCAGTAACCTTGGGCTAGTAGATTTTGTGATCAGGCTGGTGAACTCTGTTTTTAACTCTCCCGAATGGTAAGTGAATTTTTTTGGGGAATTCAGATTATAGAAAAACTGTACTCAATCCCGTTCATCAAAACTTGTTTTGGGCTATTCAAAATGACTTTCAGGCATACAGTGAATGCTAGGTACAGCTTTCTTGAATGGCAAGCTGTAAAGCTGACTTTCTTTGCACCCTGACCAATCAAGAAACTGGCAATGGCTGGTGAATGCAGAGAAAGCTTGTTTTATGAGTCAAGTTGTAAGTTAGGTTGAATTTAGGCCTTAAGAGGTTACGTTAAGAGGTTAGGATTATAAGTCTGGTTTAGCTGTGTTGGTCAATTGTTTAGCAGTTGCATTGTTAATACACTTTTAAGTCACTAATTTGTTTAAATTTGGAATGTGTAGGACCTGCACATTTCAAAAAAAAGTTAAAGGACATTAAAAGTGTACAGAGAAGAGTAGAAACAAAATTATTTGTTACAATGTTAAAAAAATAGCATCACTCCTGGGAATTGTCATTCAAGTACTGGTAACTTTTGAGTGATTTGAAATGGCCATAAAGAGCCCACACCCCGCCACACATTTCGAAAAGATCAGGGTGCAGATTACCTAAAGGCTTGTAGCAATTTTATTTAGTTGAACCTCCATTTAAGCAGGTACCCACAACAATAGGAGAACTCTTGCCGGAATGGCCAATAGTCATGACCGTGGCTGCTTAATAGAGTTTTATTTTACAATATTCTTTTGTACAATGATTTCAGGACTTTGAACACTGGCCACTTAATAGAGGGTGGCCATATAGGTGTCTCCTTAATGGGGGTTCAACTGTATTTGGAATGTCATTGCTGCTTGGTGTGATCGGTGAGGCAGTACACTTACATGTATATTGTTCATGATAGGGGTTTCAGAACTTGTAGGTGTATCATGTTTATTTTGCTATTTTTGTTTTAGATTATAAAAACCGACATAGCTGTTTTAATAATTTAAAACATGGATGACTGTTCCAGTGCAAACTGGAGAGCCTACATTAGATATGAAAGTGGAGCAGTCGTTTTGGATCTGAATGGAAAAGGACTATCCAGTGTACCTGCTGCAGTCACTGAACTGATTGAAGTGGAGGAAATTAGGCTGCGTAAAAATAATCTGTCTGCGTTGCCAACAAGTATCAACAAGCTGGAAAATCTTCAAATGCTGGATGTAGCTGGTAACAACCTAACCCATTTACCAGCTGAGACTGGCGACCTGAAAGAGCTGAGGTTGTTGAAAGCGGGTTTCAACCAGTTAGTTAGTGTACCTTCCAGTATACAGAAGCTGGACAAACTTGAAAAGCTGTACCTGGGTAATAACAGGCTAAAAGAATTGCCTATTGAGATTTGTGACCTGAAGGAACTGAGGGTATTGAGTGTGAGTAACAACCAGTTGGTTGGTTTACCACAGATTGCACTGAACAAGCTTGAAGCTCTGAACTTGGATAATAATAGATTGACAGAATTACCCACTTCAGTTGGTGACCTGAAGGAGCTAAGAGTGTTGAAAGTAAGAAACAACAAGCTGGTTGGTTTATCTTCCAGTATACAGCAGCTGAGCAAGCTTTCCTGGTTGTACTTGGATAAGAACAGTCTAACGGAATTACCCTCCGAGATTGGTCACCTGAAGGAGCTGAGAGTCTTGCAAGTGACTTACAACTGTTTGGTTGGTCTGCCTACTAGTGTGCTGAAGCTGAACAAGCTTGAAGAGCTGTACTTGGGTGCAAACAAACTTAGAGAAATACCCGCTGAGATTGGAAACCTGAAGGAGCTGAGGTTACTAGATATCAGTAACAACGAGTTGGCTCATTTACCTACCAGTATGAAGAAGCTGGGTTACCTTGAAAAACTATATTTGGGTTATAACAAACTTACTGCATTACCTACTGAAATTGGTGATCTGACAAACCTGAAAGAAATGTATGTGAGGGGTAATCCCTTCACTGTTGATGCTGTAAGATATGTTCTGAAGTTGCAGAAAAAAGGAATGCATACAGATATTTCAGGTGAGAAAAAGCCTAAAGGGATGGTTACCAATATTATTGCAAGAAGCTGAGTATGATGTGAAGAATTATGCAGATTGAGGAGAATGTTATTTGGCCCTTGCCAAGTGGATAACTGTCTCCGAGACCTTTATAATTCTTCACATCATACGAGAGGCAGCGAGCTAAATTCAATTGTTCTATTATATTCTTATTTTTAATTCAAAATATTTCTAAGTTCTTAACAAGTTTACCTCATTGCAGACTTTCTTTAAAACTCTGGTCTATTTCCCTGCACAGTTTCAGGATATAAAGTCAGATTTTTTTCTTGTAGATACTCCTCAAAAGATACTCCTCAGAAAGTACAGAAATAGAAATCTACTGAGCAGTATGCTCTGCTTATTCTTGCAATTCGTCTGTTCAGTGTAAGCCTGCATAGCAAGCGTTTGCAATCAAGTTATGGTGCGAAAATTGGAGCGAGAGCAAACGAAATGAAAGATCAAATTCCTCTTTTCGCCTCTCGTCCCAACTTTCTCAACAAATTCGCGCGGGAACGCTTGCTACGCTGGCTAGTTAAGTTTTAGTAAAAAAAATTTAGCCATTTGGAATAGTCACGAGCGCCATTTTTTAGTTCACTCGCGGGAATAAAAACCTTGGCTGCCGCTCCTGGAAACAAGTTTGATTATAGGGATATTTGCCTGGAAAGGAGGCCTCTTGGGCAATACAGCATCAATACATGTAGCCCTTCGTCCGAACAAAGTGCTCAAACTGTCAGCTTTTTTATCCCTTTATGCATGGTGATGAAACCACATTTTTGTGTTGTTAATAGAGACCTTTGTCACATTAGCCAAACGGTGTGCGCATTTTCCTGGTCCCTATGTGACAGACGTCCTGTATCTTTACTAGTTTTTTGTATTGCTTATTTTCTGTATTGCTTATTGGTCACTGTAATTATAATAATAATAATAATTAATTGCCATTACCCTAGCTCCCACAGAAATAGAAGCCCAAGGAGAAAGAGCCCAGCAAATTTACCAACGTGCTTTAAGAGATGGCGCTGTTAAAGTTTACCGTGGTCGGGTATTGCTTATTGGTCAGGATCGAGCAGGAAAAACAAGCTTGAAAAAGTCTCTCATTGGTCTACCGTTTAATCCCAAAGAAAGTAGTACTGACGGAATTGAGGTGGATCCTTCATCTTTTCAACTGGACGTTGATGAAGTTAAGAATTGGCAACCCATTGATGAAAGCAAACAAGGATTGTTGCCGGGATGTTCGACAGATGTGGCACAGATGGTGGTGGAGAAACTTTGTATTCCAGTTAGCCATAATTGGGAAGAGAAAGAAGGTACAGAAAAAGATGTGCAGCTTGATGGTTATGATAACAAGGATGAGAAAGAGCTTGAGGACAATGATTGTGAAAAGGAAGAAGATTCAATAGAACAGGTTTATCTTCAGTCCCCTAACATTTGCTTCCTTACCGTAAAATAATGATCTCGTAGACCCCCTCTTATTCCTCCAAAATACTTGGAAATAACAAAATAGATCAAAATAATATTCAACCTCTTTTTCACTTTTTTGCTTCGTTAATTAGAGTTTACACTTACATAGTATCGTGTTCATTTTCAAGTTCAAAGTTAAGATTCTGTCATTGTACTTGAGCTTTACGAAAACGACACAGATACCTAAATGGCTACACTTGCTACAAGTCGACCTCTCACAAGTTCTTAAAAGTGAACAAAGCGAGCTTCAATGCATGTGGTCGCGCAGCGACCGAGCGTGCGACGAAGTCTCGAGGTCGACTTGTTTCGCCTGAATGGATTTAAATCATATCATAAATCACGCGGGAAACTGAAAATGATGGACATAAGCTGTGCTGGGAGCGGCGTGAAATATCACTGTCCAATTTGTCAATTGTCATGACGTCACCGGTAGAATTTTCGACCGGTGAATTTCGCGCCAAACAGATATGAAAAGTCCTTTAAAATAGCATAACCAACCAGGAAAAAAAATAAAGGACTTTCAGAGAGTCTACTAAATGGCCTAGACGTAAATCTATCAATGGTTGGACTGAATCTGAATCTCCTGTTTAAAATCTGAGGTTGTGTAATATTCGTGGAAAGCATATTAGTTTTGTTGGGTTTTACATGTGTAATGCCTCTCCACTCTTTTAAACGCCTGAGCATTTCTATTAAACAACCCCGCTTGGGCTCCTAAAATTGAATAGGCATCTATTAGATCATTTAGGCCATTAAATCAGGTCAGAGGGGCTATGTCATGCGCTCTTTCCTATCTTTTTAAAGAAGTAAAACTTTTTTCGCATCATTTGAATTCCAAAAATGCGATAAAATAATATAGCTTTAGACTCTAAGACGAGGACAACTACGAGTGCGAGATTTTCTCAAGTATAAAAGGCACTTAGTTTATTTCAGACTTTTTAACTTGGTACGTTATTACCCTATTACAGGTTCCTGATCCAAAAGAAGAAAGTGTCAGTGAACTGTCATCATCGGGTCCTTATCATGAGTTAGAGGTTGATAACACTTCACCTCCAGCTGAGATCCAAGAGCGAGCCGTTAATTTGATAAGGTATTTGAAAGGTGAAAAAGATGTTACGGAAAATTCCGTTGGTAGCATTGAACTTTGGGATTTTGCTGGACAACAGCTGTACTATGCATCTCATCCTGTATTTTTAACATCACGTGCAATATGTATCTTAGTGTGTAACCTGAGCAAATCGTTGCACCTAACCGCTCAACCCTGTGTGAGACAAGGAAATTATGACGTCTTGTTGGACAACCCAAACGGGGAAACAAATCTGGAGAATCTGCTCTCTTGGCTGTCCACCGTGCATAGCATCACGCAGATGAGGGGAGGAGCCCGTGACAGTGCCGAAGAAAAGCTGCCCCATTTGCGTCCCCCTGTGATCATTGTAGGTACCCATGCAGACCAGCCATTTAAAGACATTGCAACTATGAAGTCTGAAATACAGAGGGCAATTGCTGGTAAGGACTATGAAGGACATGTGGTTCGGCCTATCTTCAGCATTGACAACACTGCAAAATTACTTCAGAGTAAGATAAAAAAGGTTTTCTGGCAAGATAAAAGCATCGATGACATCCAAGCTCTCCAGGACAAAATCATGGAAGTGCTAAGGCAGGAGCCTTACATGGGGGAGATGATACCTGTGAGGTAAATAATAGTAATAAAAGAACAGGAGTTTATTAAATGAGAATTTCCATGTCTAGAGTTAAGGTGTGGCGGCATTAAAATGTTTTATATTTGTAGCACTCTTTGTTACAGTCCTTATAGGTTTTTGTCGAGTGGTTAGAGCACTGGAATTATTGCAATCCGGAGGCCGCGATTTCAATCCCGTCCTAACTGCTTCCTGGATTTCTCCACGGTATTCCCGAGTGCAACTCCTCACAGTCACCCTTGTTAACAGCCAACTGGTTTGCCTCCGGCCAGTTGGGATTCTTAACCTTGTGGGCCGCACAGAAAACTACTGGTTTACCAGTAATTATGTTACCCCTATAATAATCAGTGGCTATGACGGCACACAAAAGCGTGACCCAAAACATTTGAAGGCTGATGCTACATTATAGTCCTTCACTCGGGTTGAAAGACAATGTCAGGAATAGGAAAAGTATGTAACTTTTTAAAAAAGTGAATCAAGCAGAGGAACCGTTGAATCCATGTTATTTTTTGACAGCTCCTTCTTACAATAATAATAATAATAATAATAATAATAATAATAATAATAATAATAATAATAATAATAAAATATTTATATAGCGCTTATACTTTTCAGTGCTAAGCGCTTACAGGTATTGTGTCTAATCAGAAAAAGTTTTCAGTGATTCCTGTTTTAACTACCTGCCAGTTATGGGTAGTATAATTTTCTTGGTGTTGCAGACGGGTCCGATCACCAAACAACGTGATACAAAACGGATTGAAAAGACACTGAACAATGCCTACACTACAACACAAAAGCAAACCAACAATGGTTTCCACAACATCCAAAAAACACCCCAGTTATGGATATCTGGCTGCTCAGTGATAAATGTTTATCATAGTACAGGTTTTAGTGACTTTGAAGGCAATGACCACGGGAAGGGTTTGATGGAAAATTTGTGGCTTGATTTCAGGTGTCGATCACAAAAAAAGAACATTACGTTCCCTTTAAGTTCGAAAGACTTTGCATTTTATTTTTTTGTTTTTAACTGGTAACCCTGCATAATGCAAAAGAATTTTGAACTTTATATGCATATGGATTTGCAACACATTCAATAAGGTCCATTCAGTGAAGTTGACATCCAGAAGTTCTGTTACTCTCCTATTTTGCTTCTGCACCCCCCTCACCCAATATGTCACTACAGTCAGAAGCACTTCAGTGACATGAATACTTTTTTCAAACCAGGTGGCTAAACTTTGAGAAGGTCATCAATGCTTTGCTATCCAAAGAAGTGCATCACTTGAATATAAAGGAACTTCAAAGTTATGCCAAAGAGAAGTGCTTTATTGATGACGAGGAAGAGTTTACCACCATGGTAAATTTCTATCATGACCTGGGCATTATCATCAAGCACTACAGCACAGTCATTCTGAGTGCGAAGTGGCTGATAGATCTATTCGGGCAGCTTATCACTATTCCAGATTTTAATAAAATGGTAAGAATTTTGATAGGTACTTGTTTGAACTGTTGCAAGGGTTTTTTCTTTCACAATGGTCCCCACTTTTTAAATCTTTTTTCAATTTACTGTCTCTAGGACCCCAAGGTTTCCAAGCACTGGAAGGAAGTTGAAGAAAGCGGTGTCCTCAGTATAGAACTAGTTGATCATGTGTTTTCCAAATTTCTTCTGAAGGGCATTGCGAGGGATGACATTCTGGACATGATGAAACAATTTGGTTTGATTGCAAAGTTTACATCCTCTAAAAATGATGAAAAGTATTTCGTGCCATGCCAGCTCAAAATGCCACCTAATTCCCTTTGTTCTATGGTACCTTCAAGCTCTGATCCCTGTCCTCTTTATGTTTATTTTTCCACCGGTTTCGTCCCCCATGGCTTGTTCACACTACTTGTTTCTAGACTCGTCAGTTGGTGTTCTGAGGCTGGTCCAACTCAACCCCCTACCCTTTATCGAAATGGAGCATGGTTTATTATTGGCAGGCAAATTATCCACGATTTGGTTCTCATTTGTAAAAAGCAGTTCATTAAGTTTTTCGTCAAGCAAAGAGCCCAAGATCAGCACATCAAAGGAGATGACGCCAGGGAAACTGCAATTCAGGTTCTTGAGTTTTTGGAGACAACTTTACAATCTTTGTCAAAGGATCTTCCTTATCTACGTGGACTGCAGTATCAGGTAAGGGTCAGATGCCCATACTGTCAGCTGGAAAAGTGTACTGGGCATAATCAGATGGCATGTACTCATGAAGACTGTCTTCACCTCCTCGAGTTACGACACGGCCACCCCTTGATCTGCAAAAAGAAACCTGCAAACAGAGTTCTTACAGTTCAGGGACAAGAGAAATGGTTCTCGCAGACAATAAGTCAGGTAGGTAGTGAAATTCATTCAATTTCTAGCAATACTATTAGCACTTCATAAACTTACGATTAAATAACAATTTATATATAAACCAGCAGGCCTCGGTTGTTAATTAGTTTCCCCGATACTTATCCGATACTTATCTGATGGATAGTGATTTATCCGGTGGATAGCGCTATCCTACGTTTGAACAACCGGGGCCAGGGCTATAGCACGTACGGTATCTTGGAAGTCAATGTTACTTGATGTCTAAACTACTTAAGAGCAGACCATGTTACCTTTATTAGATTATCGGGCGATACTTATCGCACTGTATGTGTCTACTTGTAGGCTCTCTTTGGGTCTCTAGATTAAAGAAAGTCCGAAGGAATTAAGACTGAGGACTTGCTTCACTTTTATGTTAGAAAAGTGGACCTTTTCGGACTCCTGAGCTGATAATTGTACATACCTCACCTCACCCCTCGTATTTAGTTTTTGTTTTAGTGAACGGCATAGCAACTGTGTCGAATTACATATGCAATTTACATTCTGCTAGTTGTTTTAACAACTTTATTGCCAGGAATATATAGAGCATTTATATAGTCTGTGTGTCATAATTATGTGATCTATTCATATATGTTTTATATCTCTTTTATTTTTTATTTTTCCTCTGCAAACGAAAATGCGCTTTTTGAGTTGGAAAGTCTCGGCCCCATACTTTCCTTAAACGGTTTAACTTTTTGTTTCCGGACAGGAAACGTGTTCATTCTCACCTGGTGTAACAAGTCAGCATCGAGAATGTTTAATCTTGAAAGTTGCCCTTCTGGCTATTGAGTGGGGATCATCTAAGGGTGGGCTGTCAACAGTCAACAGAACACTTGCGATACATTTGGCAAAACTCTCAAACGTAGAAGTTACTATTCTTGTGCCTGAATATGAGTGCAGTGAAGATGACAAGAGAACTGCCAGGAGTCATAACATTGCCGTAAGGGAAGCAGAGCATCTTCCTGGCTTCAGTGATCCTCTAGATTGGTTGAGCTTTCCACCAGATGACCTTGATATCCAAGTTGTGATTGGCCATGGTGCAAAGCTTGGCAGACAGGCCCAAGTAATCAGAAAGTCTCACTGCTGCAAGTGGGCGCAGGTAGTGCACACTGAACCTGAAGAGCTGGCAATGCATAAGAACTATCCTGGTGCCGTTGCCAAAGGGGAAGAAAAGAACAGAGCAGAAGTTGACTTGTGCCAAATTGCAGATCTCGTAGTGGCGGTTGGGCCCAAGTTGACAGAAGCATTCTCGTCCAAACTGCGTTCAACTCATCGAGAAATCTTTCAGTTAATACCAGGTTCCTTTGAAGAGTTTTTTGATATTAAACGTACTACACAAGAGAGTGCGAATTTCAAAGTGTTAGCCTTTGGTCGCGGTGATTTTGAAGACTTTAGTCTCAAAGGGTATGACATTGCCGCTAAAGCCATTGTTGAATTGAAGGACAGTTCATACCGTCTGATCTTTGTTGGTGCTCCTGATGGAAAGCAGGATGAAGTCGCCGATAATTTACTCCAGTCGGGCATTTCAAGAAACCAACTGATTGTCAGATCATTTGTGAAAAACAAGCAAAGATTGAAAGAGTTGTTTTGTGAAGTTGATGTGGCCATCATGCCGTCAAGAACTGAGGGGTTTGGCTTGACGGCACTGGAAGCCATGTCAGCTGGTCTTCCCATTCTGGTAAGTGGAAACTCTGGGTTTGGAGAAGCATTGCGTGATCTTCCAACAGGAGATTCATTTGTGATTGATTCAGATGATCCCAAGGCATGGGCAAGGGAAATTGCTGCTATCCGTAAAAAACCCAAGATACAATTGCTTCAGGATATCCAAAGACTACGGAGCTGTTATGAAGAGAGATTCAGTTGGGAAAGACAATGTCAGACCCTTGTTGACGAGATGTGGAAGATAGTTTACGGTAAGGAGGTTAAGTAACGACAATGATAGTGATATTGTAATGTGCGTTCAAATTTGAATTCGAATGCGTATCTCAGCGTGATTGTCCTTTTTTACATTTAAATATGAGCATACCTATTCTCCTCGTACACTCTTCTCCTTACATTTCTTGTGGTAAAGGGTCTGGATGGGGGTCCTGATCCCGCATTCCCGCTTCTTTGTCACAACGATCCCGCATCCCGAACTACTGTCATTGATCCGTATACATTTCTATCCCGAATACCGTTCGTTTTCTTTGTCAATACCACATCCTTCGCCAAGATTTTAGCGAATCCCGCTTCCCGAGTAGCGGTCAAATCCCGTATCCCGTCAAGAAATGTTGCTTTTTCACGAATCTCGCGCTATATTTCTGTCAAACCCCATGGATTATATACACATTCTCTTCCAAAGTAGATGTGTCCAGACGTCTCCTCGCAAGTCCTCCGACAATTGGACTCTCGTGAACGACCACCTCCCGTAAGCGACCACTAACTCTCCGCATTTTGTGTGGTCTTGTACGGGAGGGTAGACTGTATCAAAGAGAACGAATGGTGCGTTACAGAGGTTGTAATCCTTGACCTTTCTTTTTAATTCATCGCCTATTTAAACATTACAGGTGCGGGAAGACCCCGGGAACATGCATTTCCAGTGAACAGCTTTGAAGAAGGTGTTTCAACAGGACAGTTGCCAGGTGATATCATTGTCTGCTATTTTTGGAGGAGAGTATTCTGATTTTGTTCAGTTTAAGCCGCGGTAATTTAACCGGAATTCGTTTTCGCACGAAATTGTCTGGTGTTTTTGGCTTTGTATTGATGTACTATCCTCTATTAAACTAACGTGAAAAGTGACCACTGTTTAATTGGTTTCCCTCTATCATTTACAGATGAACCCGTTTTCCATGCACTTCAACAAATCCAACTGGAAACACGCACGAAGACCAGTAAAACGGAGCTCTCACTGAATTTAAAGAGCATTTCTCTGGATAAAGGTTTCCTGATTTCCGATAATCAAGGAGAAGGAAACTGTATGTTTTTGGCACTTTCAGAGCAGCTTGAGCTCATTAAAGGAATCAAAATCTCCCATAAAGAGTTACGCTTAGCCGTTGTTCATTACCTTAAGGAAAACTCTAAGCTGGTTAGTGTGTTATTATTCTTTGTCAGTGTCTTAAGTTATTTGTCCTACACTAGCAAAGTAAGCATTGAATGATGATGGCAGAGACAGCATTCCGTTCGGTTCTAGTGTAAATTTAGTAACGGAGACGGAGGCATTTAAAGGAAACATTTTCTTCTTTTCCGCTTCGGTCGTCGAGTTTCCGTCGTTTATATCTTACAGACAGGCGTGAGACTTAAAGGAGCTGTGTCACGAAATTCGGCCAAATTAGGTAATTACAAAATGCCCGTTAAATTAAGAGAAACATAAAAATAGTCGCTTAAAACATTAAAGGAAGGTTAAAATAAAACAACAGATACAACAGATGCCACGGATGGGAAAAACTGAAGAAGATTGAAACGGATAGAAATTAGGGCTTTTGAAAACTGCTCAGCCTAACAGTTTTTCAAAGTTGATCTCTGCTGTTTGCAACTTCAAAAATAATGCTCAGGAGACATATTTGTTTGTCTCGAATCTCTGCTTGTCTCATTTACAAGTAATTTCTTTGCTTACTTTAAGTTCCCTAGCGATTGTGGGCGAGTAACTGGCAAAATTAAACAAAATGAACTGGACTGCCGTGACACAGCCCATTTAACCATGGTAGCAGTTTCTCTTTTGTTCCATAATTTTGTTTTACACCACGTCTTCTGTCTCTATTCCATTGCTTACTTAAATGCAGACGAAGCTTACTTTGTGATACTTTTTGTTGAACTCATCGAAAAGGAGTACCTTTTTTGTCGAAAATAGTATATAAAAGGGCAAGGGGCTGGACATCGGGGTGGAACCGCCATGTATAAAACTTTGATGAATAGTCCTTCGGGGTAGACGCATTTTACTCACGTGGCCATCAGCTATGCAAGTGTTTTGAAACAAAAGAACTTTTTTTATAAAAAAAAACTTCAACTCCCATAGTATTACTTTGGGACACTAACGTGGCAGCCGTTTTATTGTTTTGGGCATCTATAAGGCGAGCGTGGTGTCATATGAAAATGCTTTGAGGAGAATTTTTCTAAGTGAGACGGGTACCTAGTACTGGTGCTATAGTCTGTTTTAAATGCTGTTGACAACGACGCAATTTCCTGAAAAGTAGTGTGTACTAATGCATTTCCTCCTCCTCCACCCCACCCCCGCCCCGCTCCTTGTGACTACAGTATTTTTCTCTTTCAGCCGGATGGAACAGAGCTGTTCCACTTTGTCCATGGATGCTCATCTTGGGAAGCGTACCTCGCAAGTATGAAGACTGATGGTACATGGGGTGATCACGTGATTCTGCATGGTGCAGCAAACTGTTTTGAGACGTGCATTCACGTGATCAGCAGTTTGCCGCATCACCATGACGTATGGATATGTCCAGAGTACGATGTTACTGGTAGCAACCGACTTGTGCTGGGTCACCTAAACAAGCTTCACTATGTTAGTCTCATCCCAGATATAGGATGGAAAGATGTCTGATTACACTGCAATGTGAAATTTCCAAACTCGCGTTATCAAAATTCAAACCATTAGAATGAGGCAGTTTCGCCTTTTATTAGCGTCTTTTTTGCTAAAGTTACGATAAAACTGGCAACAAAAACGTTAAGTTTGTTTTGCGGCATTGCTGCTTGCAAAAAGTTGTTGCAGAAAGTAGAGAGTAGTTTTACTGTTTGCAACAGAATCTGTACATGTTGCGAATTTACCGGCCAAGGCAAACTTGTTTTGCAGCAAGTGTCTAAAGGTGAATGTTGCACGGGACGATTCGCAACGACGATTTTTAGCGCAACACAGCGTTGCAATGGTGGAACAATGTTGCAAGCATTCGAAACAATGTCGCAACAATGTTGTTGCAACGCTTCGTTGAGCTAAAAATCGTCGTTGTGAATCGTCTCGTGTAACATCACCTTTAAATCCCGTGCATGGTGTGACATGGTGTGACTCCGGCTTAATTTCAGCCAAACAGAAGTCAGGTTTCACGCACGTATTATTGTAGCTTTAGCTATTGGCAAGAAACATTTCTGTCCGTAAAAAATGAAGACGTCCATTTTGCAACATTTTTGCAATCCGTCAATGTTATTGTGATGATACTAATTCCCGTCTTGCATCACTTACAATCCCTTATTCAAAAGGAACTTTTCATAAATTTAGAGACAGTGCCGCTTGGTATTATGAACATGTATTGCAGCATTTTCAAGAGAGTTAATAATAATAAATACTAATAATTAATAATTTCCTTTATTTACCCTCGGCAGTATTTATAGTACTTATGATATTGGCGCCGAGAAAATAGCCGAAAACAAATAATTTAAATCAAACATAACGGGTTAAGAATCCCAACTGGCTGAAGGCAAACCGGAAGGCTATTTACCAGCGTGGTCGACGATTTGAACTCTGGACTACCGTGAACAAATTCAGCAAGCAGTCAGGGCTGGACTTGAACTTGGGGCCTCCGAAAGGCAAGTCCAGCTGCCTCCTGCTGTTTAAGTACCAGTTAACCTGCAGTCAGTCAAATATTCCTATGACAAATAGCGAAAATAATTTCACAATTAGTAGGCTGCGTCTGCTTCGGAAATCCAATGAAATCAAAGCAGTTTTTAACCACTTTAAAGGCATGCCTGCCACGCACGTCTCTAGGTAACGTGCCATAAAAGAAATTTTGGAATTGAGGTTGGCAGTTGGTTGGTGTACTTTCCAGTATATAGAAGCTGAACCTGTACCTGGGAAATAACAGACTAAAAGAATTGTCTGTTGAGATTTGTGATCTGAAGGAACTGAGCCGGATGGTATTGAGTGTAAGTAACTACCAGTTGGTTGGTTTACCACAGATTGCGCTGAACATGCTTGAAGCCCTCTATTTGGATAACAACAGATTGACAGAATTACCCACTTTAATTGGTGACCTGAAGGAGCTAAGGGTGTTGAAAGTGAGAAACAACCAGCTGGTTGGTTTATCCTCCAGTATACAGAAGCTGAGCAAGCTTTCATGGTTGTACTTGGATAAGAACAGTATAAAGGAATTACCCTCCGAGATTGGTCACCTGAAGGAGCTGAGAGTCTTGCAAGTGACTTACAACCGTTTGGCTGGTCTGCGTACTAGTGTGCTGAAGCTGAACAAGCTTGAAGAGCTGTACTTGGGTGCAAACAAACTTAAAGAAATACCCGCTGAGATTGGAAACCTGAAGGAGCTGAGGTTACTAGATATCAGTAACTACGAGTTGGTTCATTTACCTACCAGTATAAAGAAGCTGGACTACCTTGAAAAACTATATTTGGGTTATAACAAACTTACTGCATTACCTACTGAACTTGGTGACCTGAAAAACCTGACGGAGATGTATGTGAGGGGTAATACTTTCACTGTTGATGCTGTAAGGTATCTTCTTGAGTTGGAGAAAAAAGGCCGGAATGTGCACAGATATTGCAGGTGAGAAAAACTAAAGGGATAGTTAGCAATATTATTGAATGAAGCTGAGTATGATGTGAAGAATTATGCAGATTGAGGAGAATGTTATGCGGCCCTTGCCAAGTGGATCTTTATATAATTCTTCACATCATATGAGAGGCAGTGAGCTAAATTCAATTGTTCGATTATATTATATTATTTTAAAATATTCCTAAGTTCTTAACAAGTTTACCTCCTTGTAGACTTTCTTCAAAACCCTGGCCTATTTCACTGCACAGTTTCAAGTTATAAAGAGATGGAGATTTCTTGGAGATACCTCTCAAAAAGTAGATAAAAGTAATAAAAAACCATCGAGCAGTATGCTCTGCTTATTCTTGCAATTCTTCAGTTCAGTGTAAGCCTGCATAGCAAGCGTTTACAATCAAGTTATGGCGCGAAAGTTGGAGCGAGAGTAACAGAAATAAAAGATCATTCTTCTTTTTGCCTCTCGTCCCAACTTTCTCAACAAATTCGCGTGGGAACGCTTGCTACGTAAACTAGTTAAGTTTTAGTCAGAAAGTTCAGTTATTTGGGATAGCCATGAACGCCATTTTTTAGTTCACTCGGTAATAAAAACCTTGGCTGCCGCTCCTGGAATCAAGTTTGATTAAAGGGATGTTTGCCTGGAAAGGAGGCTGCTTGGGCAATACAGCATCGAAAATAGAGCAACATAAAATAATAATAATAATAATTTACATTTATGTAGCGCAAACCTCTATATCAATATATTCGGTTGCGCTTTATAATATTGTTATATTAAATTAATGTTAAAGGTGACTAAAGCGTGAGAAACTATCAAAAACTACAATAAAAAGAATTAAAAATTATAAAAAACTACAATAAAAGCCAACAATTAAATCTATTTAAAAGCTAAATTTAAAAAATGATTTTTATCAGCAGTCTTAAAAGTGTCCAATGTCTTCATGTTGCGAATTGCCGAAGGTAATGCATTCCAGAGTATAAGGTGCAGCTGACTGGAATGCACGATCACGAAGAGTTGGATGGGTCTTAATGCCTGGTAACTCGAGGAATATTGACTCATTTGACCTTAGAGAGTACGTGGATTGCTTTTTGATGGTAATTAAATCAATTAAATAATTAGGAGCTTGACCATATAAGCACTTAAATGCCAAAAGTAGAATCTTAAACTTTATACGGTAACTTATCGGAAGCCAATGAAGGTGGAAAAGCAATGGTGTAACATGGCAGAAACTAGGTGTTCCGGTGACCAACCGAGCCGCGGCATTCTGTATCCGTTGGAGTTTCATGATATGTGAATTCGAGAGGCCATATAGTAGACTGTTACAATAATCCATTCTACTGGTTATAAAAGCATGAACTAATGATTCGGCGACTGAACGATTTAAAAGTTTTGTTGATAAGACTTAGCATACGCATTTTAGAATCAAACCAGGTTCCTAAGTTTCGAACTTCACAAGATGGAGCAATTTGGGAGTCCCCGACCGATAAGGTACTGATGTTACTGACTTTCTGAAGTTGTCGTCGCATTCCAATCAGGAGACATTCTGTCTTATCCGAATTCAGTTTTAAATTATCCGAATGCATCCACTGAATGATATCGGCAATACATGATTCCGTGGCAGTTATAGCAGCGGTCTCCTCCAAATCATTTCCTGATCTAAACGCGATATGCAGTTGCGTGTCATTTGCATAACATGGGGATTAGGAAGATGTGATTCGACAATCTTAAAAAATTTGCTAGCGTAGAGAGAAAACAATAATAGCCCGAGACAGTTACCTTGTGGAACTCTAAATTTAAGATTAAAATTACTCGGTAGAACTCCGGCTATATAGATGCGCTGAGTTCTGTTAGAAAGGTACGATTCAATCAAATTAAGTGCAGAGCCTGAAATTCCACAATCAAACTGGAGGCGATCTAAGAGAATCCGATGGTCCACGGTATCAAACGCGGCGCTTAAATCAAGAAGCACTAACAACGTGACCTTCTGATTTTCCATGTTCATCAAAATGTCATTCTTGACTTTAAGCAGGGCAGTTTCTGTGCTATGATGCTGTCGATAGGCTGATTGCAATGAAGGCAAAAGATCATGCTCATTTAAGTAGGACTGAATCTGACCAGCTGCCACTCTTTCAGCCAATTTTGAAACAAAGGAAAGATTGCTGATTGTTCGAAAGTTTTTAAAAACCAAGCAAAGACCTTGTTTTTTAGCAGTGGTGTAACAACCGACTATTTCCAAATGTCAGGGAAAAATCCTTGCAAGCGACAAGTTTATCGTAGTTGATAATATCGGGAGTAACTCATCAAGGCAATCTTTCAAGATATTAGTAGGAACAGGATCAAGTAAACAAGATTTTGTCGGCGCTCTGAGCACAAGTTTTCTTAAAGAGTCCATGTCTACACGGCGAAAAGCAGTAAAGGACGAAGAATGGCGGTTAACAGTGCTGCACAAATTCTCAGTTGCATCAAGGCTAACACGAAGATCCGATATTTTCTTAATAAAGAACGACCCCATGTCATTAGTCAAGGCTAACTTATCGCCGTGAGGTGGAAAAGGCGTATCTGCAGTCTGATTTAACAGTTTCTTTGTAGCAGCAAAAAGCTTGCGTTGATCACGAGAAATGTTGCTAACAAAATCTGTGTAAAATTGACGACGATACTTATTCATAAGAAAGACAACTTTGTTCCGAAGAAGTTTGAATGTTTTCCAGTCAGATTCAGACTTTGTAGACCTCCAGTTACGCTCAGCTATCCTTCGGCGACGTTTCGCAGATCTGATCTCATCAGACAACCATGGAGCATGAGCTCTTTGAGTCATGGATCTCTTCCGCCAAGGAACGTGTTTGTCGCTGATGGGCGTTAAAGTAGTATTTAAACAGTTAACGAGATCAACAAGGTGATTGGGAGTGTTAAGTAGCAATTCTGTAGTACGGAGATCATTCTTAAACGTGGGAAGATTAAACGATTTAATTTTCCGAAACCACACTTCTTTGGCAGAGGACTCTGACTTAGAACCTTTTAAGTTACATGAAAGGGAGTGAGCGAGTGAAAAACAGCGGGAAGAGA